GGGGAGGATGAAGATGATATGTTGTTAGGTAGTGTGGTTGGGGATGCGATTCAGACAGGAAGTCAAATGGCCAGCCAGACAGGCAGCGACTGTGGGCGAGGAGGAGGGTTGGGAGGCCGGAGAAGAGGAAGAGGAAAGTGCTGGTCGTAGTGAGAGGGAGTTGGAGGATGGAGGAGTGGGTGGTTGGTTGTTGTTCAAGAAGGCGACACATGTGAGAAGGACGAGGAAGAGGAGGAGGAGGTAGAGGTGGAGGAGATAGAGAAGGAGTGGAGGAGGAGGACGAAGCAGAGCACGAGATTGCTGGTATTAGCGAAGATGGGAGTTTGGAGGATGGGGAGAGGGTGGTAGTAGTGTTTAAGAAGGCGACACATGCTGTGGAGGAGGAGGAGGATGGAACAGAGGAGGAAGAGGTGGAGGAGGAGGAAGTAGAGGAGGAGGTTGCTGGTATTTAGCGAGGAGGGGAGTCTGGAGGATGGAGAGAGAGTGGTGGTCGTGTTTAAGAAGGCGACACATGCTGCGAAGGACGAGGAGGAGGAGGATGAAGAGGAGGTGGGAGAGGACGAAGGGTGGAAGAGGAAATCAGTGAGGAGGGGAGTGAGGGGCTGAGGGAGGAGGCAAGGAAGCATGAAGACGAGCATGAGGAGGAGGAAGAGGGGGAGGAAAAGGAGAGGAGGAGGAAGAGGAGGATGAGGAGGCAGGAGGAGGAGGAGGAGGGTATGAGGAGGAGGATGAGGAGGATGGGGAGAAGAGGAAGGAGATTGAGCGGTGGATAGAGGTGGCAGAGAGGGAATTGGCACAGCCAAGCCCGCAAGGGGGAGTCAGCAGTAGGCGTAGTGGCAGCGGGGTGAGCAGTATTGATCTGAGCTTTAGTGTCGACCTGAGCAGAAGCAGGAGCAGAAGCAGAAGCAGAAGCAGGAGCGGGAGCGATAGTGGGAGTAGGAACGAAAGTGGGAGCAGTGGGAGTGGAAGTGGGAGCGAGGGGAGTGAGAGTGGGACAGAGGCGAGTGGGAGTGAGAGAGTCAGGGTGAGGAGGGAGAGGAGTGAGGCGAGTGAGGAGGGGTCACAGGGAGAAAGCCTTGGGAGCAGCATCAGCAGTGGCAAACGCAGAGACAGGAGACATTTGAGCCACAGCAGAAGCAGAAGCAGAAGCAGACACAGCAGCAGACACAGCAGCAGACACAGCAGCAGACACAGCAGCAGACACAGCGGCAGACACAGCGGCAGACACAGCAGCAGACACAGCAGCAGACACAGCAGCAGACACAGCAGCAGACATAGCAGCAGACACAGCAGTAGACATAGCAGTAGGAGCAGGAGTGCGAGGAGGAGGAGTCACAGCAGCGGTCCAAGCAGTAGGAGCAGAGATGAGAGTGTGGCGAGGGAGAGCGTGGCTGAGAGTGTGAGTGAGGGACTGAGCTTGGAAGGGAGTGAGAGGAGGGTTAGGAGGGGGAGTGTGAGTAGGGATGGCAGCAAGCGGTCGGGGAGGAGCAGTGTGAGTGAGCAAGAAGGTGACCATCTGGTTGAGAGAGAGGTAGAGACAGCAAGTGTTGGCGGGAGTGAGAAAGCGAGTGAGGAAGGGAGTGAGGGTGAGAGAGGGAGCTTGAGCAAGAGTGATAGTGGCAGTTGGAGTGAGAAGAGGAGCAAGCACAGTGCCACCGGCACTGCTACCGAAAGTGCTACAAGCAGTGTTACTGGCAGTGTCAAAAGCAGCGCTGCTGACAGTGCTGCAGGTGGTAGGAGTCAGAGTGGGATCGAACGAGCGAGCGAGCAAGCCAACAGCATGAGGAGCAGCTCTGATAGCAGTGGCGTGAGAGAGAGGAGTGGCAGTGAGCGTGAGAGAGTGGTGGAGACTTTGAGTGAGCATGAGAGTGTGCATGAGAGTGTGGGGAGGAGTGTGAGTGATAATGAGAGTGAGCATGTTAGTGATCGTGAGAGTGAAATGCGTAGTAAGAGCGAGAGTGATGGGGAAAGTGTGACCCTTAGTGAAAACGAGGGGAGTGGAAAAGATAGTGTGAGTGGAAGTCACAGCGAAGGCAGTAGTGCGAAGGATGACACTGAGAGTGTAGCGAGTGAGGGTGTGAGTGAGGCAGCGAGTGAGGGAGTGAGTGAGGGGATGAGTGAGGGAGGGAGTGAGAGTCCCAGAAGCAGCAGAAGCCATAGCAAATACAGCAGCACGAGTTCCAAACATAGCAGTGCAGTGAGTGTAAGCAGTAGCGTGCACAGCCAACAGAGCAGCATTGACAGTCAGCGCAGCAGCTCGCACAGTCAGCGCAGCAGCTCGCACAGTCAGCGCAGCAGCTCGCACAGTCAGCGCAGCAGCTCGCACAGTCAGCGCAGCAGCTCGCACAGTCAGCACAGCAGCACACACAGCAGGAGTGCAAGCAGCCATGCTCGCAGCAGTAGCAGCAAAAGTGATGCGTTCAGTGCTGCAAAGAGCGAGGAGAGATCTGCTAGTGAGCGTTCTGAGATGACTCAGGACTCGCTCAGTGGAGCGAGTGGGGATAATGCACGCCACTGTGGGCAGAGTTGGTAGCACAACAGGCAGTTTGAGTGGCAGCGAGAGCAAGCACAGCAGGGGCAGTAGTGTAAGCAGGGGGAGCAGTGTAAGCAAGGGGGAGCAGTGTCAGCAAGAAAAGCAAGGGGAAGAGCAGGGAGAGCAGTGTTAGCAAGGAAAGCAGGAGGAGCAGTGTCAGCAGCCCTAGGTCGGATGGGGACAGCTATGACGGTGGTTTCGGGGAGTGGTGCGAGTGATAGGGAGGAAGAGAGGATGAGTGGGGAAATGGAGGAGAGTGGGGTAGTGGAGGAGAGTTGGAGTAGTGGAGGAGAGTGGAGTAGTGGAGAGTGGGGTAATGGAGAGTGGAGTAGTGGAAAGTGGTGCAATGGAGAGCTGGAGTGGTGTGGAGGGGTTAAGTGACGTGGAGCAAGGGAGCGAGGACCAAGAGGCTCAAGAAAACGGGAGTGAGGAGCGAGGGATGGAAGGGCAGGAGAGTGAGAAACGAGAGGCTGGAGAGCAGGAGCGTGAGGAGATGGTGTGGATGTGTGGAGCAGTGAGAGTGACGCATGGCCTGAGGCAGAGGGAGAGGCAGAAGGCCAGAGGAGAAGGAAGAAGAAGGAATAGCACCAGCACCCGAGACCGTGAGTGGCGATGGTGCAAGGAGTGTTGTGGAGAGTGATGGGGAGGAGGATGGGACAAGCTGGGTTACCAGCATCGTATCCCCTCTTGCAGCAGGTGACGATGGCCTCTGAACACGTGGCGGATCCTGATTGGTCGGAGGAGCTGGCAGAGGAGCAGCAGGTGGTGCAGGTGCGGGAAGAAGAGGGTCAGGTGGATGATCAGGTGAATGCTCAGGTAGTTGAGCAAACAGGTGAGCAGCAGCAGCAACAGGATGAAGGGAAGGTAGCAGCAGCAGCAGCAGCAGCAGGCAGAGCGATGGCTGCGAATGTGGCGTGGGTGGGCAATGATGGGATGGGTACTTCAGCAGCAGGCGACGATGGGGCAATGAGGCAGATTGGCGAGGATGCGTATGTTTATGACATGGGTGATGGCGTGGGAGCATGTGAGGAGCTGGATTGGAGCAGAGATGTGGGTGATGGGGGGTGGGAGTACAGGGGTGGTCAAGTGAGTGGACTAGGGAGAGTGAGGTGTGGGATTGTGGGTGGAACGAGGGATGGGGGCGAGGTGCTGGGGGCGAGTGGTGTGAGAGCAGGCGGTCCTTTTGCCAGTGTTGCTGCCAGTGTTGCTGTCAAGTTGGACGGGCGGAGTGAGGAGGGGAGAGAGGAGATAAGGGAGGAGAAAGAGGTGATGGTGGAGGAGAGAGAGGAGATAGTGGATGAGAGGGAGGAGATAGTGGATGAGAGAGAGGAGAGAGGGGGCGAGAGAGAGGGGGAGCAAAAGAGAGAGAGGAGGAGAAGGGGCTGAGAGAGGAGAGAGAAGACGAGGAGAAAAGGGAGCAAAGGACAAGGAGGAGGAGGATGTGGAGAGGGAGGCGGAGGTAGAGAGGGAGGAGGAGGAGGTTGAGAGCGAGGAGGTAGAGAGGGAGGACGAGGAGGTGGAGAGAGAGGAGGAGGTTGAGAGCGAGGAGGAGGACGTGGTGGAGCAAGAGAGAGATGAGGAGAGGGAGGAGGAGGAGGAGGATAGAGAGCGAGGAGGGAGGAGGAAGGGGGAGAGGGAGAGGAGGGAGGGGGATGGACGAGTGGAGTGACATGAGCGAGGAGGAGTGGAGCACCATGGAGCTAGCAGCCACCCAGTCCCCTTCCCCGCCCGCCTCCCTCTCCCCTCTGCCAGCCCTATGCCGCTCTCTCTCCGTTGTGCCCTCCGGCCACTCCAACGAGTGCAGGCGTAGGTGTGCCTCTGGATAGTGCAGCTGTCAGTCTAGCACTGCAGCAACGGCAGGAGATGCAGCAGCAGCAGCAGGAGCAGGAGGGGCGGGAGGCGCAGGAGAAGCAAGGAGAGGAGGAGATGAAAGGGTGGACAGGAGGGGCAGGATGCGGAGAAAAGATCTGAGGTGGATTCCGGGGAGGAAGAGACGGAGGGGCAGGAGGTTGAGGAGAACGTAAGGGATGAGGGGCGTGAGGGGCTTGAAGGGAAGGGAGAGCGTGAAGGGTTTCAACGGCCGCACAGCCCATTCTCGTTTGCCTCTGGCAGCGAGTCTTTGGCGCTGCCGCTCGCCAGCCCTGCTGCGCTGCCTCACGATCGAACCACTGGAGGCGTTGGGTCATGGGCAGAAAAGGAAGAGGTTCCGAGGTACCAGAAGAGCCCCCTCATTCTCGGGAGGCTCTTTTGGTACCTCTCCCGCTTCTCAACACACTCCTGCTCTCACCGCTTCTCAACACACTCCTGCTCTCACCGCTTCTCAACACACTCCTGCTCTCACCGCTTCTCAACACACTCCTGCTCTCACCGCTTCTCAACACACTCCTGCTCTCACCGCTTCTCAACACACTCCTGCTCTCACCGCTTCTCAACACACTCCTGCTCTCACCGCTTCTCAAACACACTCCTGCTCTCACCGCTTCTCAACACACTCCTGCTCTCACCGCTTCTCAACACACTCCTCTCTCACCGCTTCTGCTGCTGTGCCACACTCCGTTGCTGCTGCTGCCATCCCTGCTGACGTGGCACGTGCTGGGCCGGAGGCTGCAAGTCCATCTGAGAGGCCGGTTTTGGAGTTACGGTCGGTTCCCGCTAGCAGCTCACCTGACAGGGGCACCTGACACAGCACCTGATAGAGCACCCAATTCGGACCTGCTGCGGCACCTGTTGCGGCACCTGCTGCGGCACCTGATATGGCACCTGACATGGCACCTGATACAGCACCTGATTTGGCATCTGTTACAGCACCTGTCACAGCAGCTGATGTGGAACCTGATGTTGCACCTGATGCAGCACCTGATGTGGAACCTGATATGGTACCTGGGAAAAGCCCTGCCTCTGTTGAGGTGCTTCCTTCAGGTGCTGTCTCTGTCGTGTTGCCGTCAGGTGCTGTTTCCGTTGTGCTACCTTCAGGTGCCGTGTCTGTCATGTTGCCGTCAGGTTCTGTCACTGTTGCACTTCCTTCAGGTGCTGTCTCTGTTGGTTCAGGTGCCAGCCCTGATTCGCCTGAGACTGCGGAGAGAAGAATGGATCAAAGTGAGTGGCAAGATTTGAGGGGGATAGAGATGGAGGAGGGGAGAGATGGAAGCGGGAGGAGTGAGAGTGATGGGGAGAGGAGCGATGGGAAGGAAGGAAAAGAGAGTGAGGGAGAGAGTGAGAAATGGGAGGAGTCAGAAGAGTGGAGTGATGTTGGTGAAGTGGTAACCAGTGATGCAGGTGATGCGGTAAACAGCGATGCTGGCGATGCGGTAACCAGTGAAGCTGGTGATGTGGTAACCAGTGAAGCTGGTGATGTGGTAACCAGTGAAGCTGGTGATGTGGTAATCAGTGATGCTGGTGATGCGGTATCCAGTAATGCTGGCGATGTGGTAACCAGCGATGCTGTGGATGTGGTAACCAGTGAAGCTGGTGATGTGGTAACCAGTGACGCTGGTGATGTGGTAACCAGTGAAGCTGGTGATGTGGTAATCAGTGATGCTGGTGATGCGGTATCCAGTAATGCTGGCGATGTGGTAACCAGCGATGCTGGTGATGTGGTAACCAGTGATGCTGGTGATGGTGGTAACCAGTGATGCTGGCGATGTGGTAACCAGTGATGCTGGTGATGTGGTAACCAGTGATGCTGGCGATGTGGTAACCAGTGATGCTGGTGATGTGGTAACCAGTGATGCTGGCGATGTGGTAACCAGTGATGCTGGTGATGTGGTAACCAGTGATGCTGGCGATGTGGTAACCAGTGATGCTGGTGATGTGGTAACCAGTGATGCTGGTGATGTGGTAACCAGTGATGCTGGCGATGCAAGAGCAGAAGAAGTGGAATCGATGGCCCTTGGCGATTCAGGTGGCCGAACTCAAGAGCAAGGCACGGTAGCAGAGGAAGAGGATGCAATGGCCTTGGAAAATGCAGACGGCAGAATGCAAGAGCAAGGCTCGGTAGCAAGTGCAATCAATGCAGAGGAAATGGAATCAATGGAGCCTCCGGTAACGCTCATGCCCAGAGGACGTTGCCTGCAGTCTCTACTCCGGCTGTGGGAGAGTGGTTGGTAGCACAGGCTGATGAGCTGGCGGACAGTCGCTGTACTGCTGTGGCAGGCGTGTCAGAAGCACAGCGAGGTTTGAGTCGAATCAAGTGTTGGCTGTGGGAGGTGTGGTGTAGCAGCACAGGCGGATGGGCTGGTGGCAGGAAGTGACTGGGAGAGCGAGGAGTGGAGTGATGTGGGGTCCGGTGTGGGTGAGTGGGAGGAGGATGATGTGGGGTCTGGAGGTGTAGAGGAGAGAGTGAGGGAGGGAGTGAGGGGGTTGGCGAGGTGGATGGAGAGAGTGAGGTAAGGTGGAGGACAGAGAGAATCGGGAGGGTGAAGGTAGTGAGGGAGAGGAGATTGGGACGGTGGGGGAGGAGGTTGGAATGGGGAGAGAGGAGGGACGAAGATGGAAAGAATGAGGAGGCTGGAAGAGTGGGGGAGGAGGAGGGAGAGGATAAGGAGAGAGAGGGAAAAGAGGGTCTGCAAGGAAGCAGCACAGCAGCAGCAGGAAACATGGAAGGGGAGGTGAATCTGCCAGTTGGTGAGAGTGAGGAGCATGTGGGCAGGGAAGAGGGGCAGGAGGAGGAGAAAGAGGAGCAGGAGGAGAAGAAAGAGGAGTGGGGGGAGAGGGAGGGGAGGAGAAGGAGGAGGAGAAGGAGGAGAGGGAGGACGAGTGGGAGGAGAGGGAGGCGGAGGTGAATCGGAGGAGGAGAGGGAAGAGGATGGGGAGAGGGAGCAGCAGGGGACGTGAGGAAGTGGAGGATTTGCACAGAGAGGAACTGACGAGGGTGTAGCTGAAGGAGGGAGGGTGGAGGAGGAAGAGGACAGGATGGTGAGAGTTGATGCGGGAGTGGATGAGGGAGTGGTGGAGGGAGAAAAGGAGGGAGTGGTGGTTAAAGAAAAGGAGGGAGTGGTGGTTAAAGAAAAGGAGGGAGTGGTTGGTTGGAGAAAAGGAGGGAGTGGTGGTTAAAGAAAAGGAGGGAGTGGTGGAGGGAGAAAAGGAGGGAGTGGTGGTTAAAGAAAAGGAGGGAGTGGTGGAGGGAGAAAGGAGGGAGTGGTGGTTAAAGAAAAGGAGGGAGTGGTGGAGGGAGAAAAGGAGGGAGTGGTGGAGGGAGAAAAGGAGGGAGTGGTGGTTAAAGAAAAGGAGGGAGTGGTGGTTAAAGAAAAGGAGGGAGTGGTGGTTGGAGAAAAGGAGGGAGTGGTGGTTAAAGAAAAGGAGGGAGTGGTGGAGGGAGAAAAGGAGGGAGTGGTGGTAAAGAAAAGGAGGGAGTGGTGGAGGGAGAAAAGGAGGGAGTGGTGGAGGGAGAAAAGGAGGGAGTGGTGGAGGGAGAAAAGGAGGGAAGTGGTGGTTAAAGAAAAGGAGGGAGTGGTGGTTAAAGAAAAGGAGGGAGTGGTGGAGGGAGGAAAAGGAGGGAGTGGTGGTTAAAGAAAAGGAGGGAGTGGTGGAGGGCGAGACCAGAGATGCACATGCAGAAGGGAGTGAAGTGGACGATGGGAGTGAGAGTGGGAGTGAAAAGCATGAGTGATAGGGAGAGTGGTAGCATGAGTGAGAGAGAGAGTGAAAGTGAAGGTGAGAAGGAGAGTAAGAACATGAGTGAGAGGGAGAGTGAAAGTGAAGGTGAGAGGGGGAGTAAGAGCATGAGTGAGAGGGAGAGTGAAGGTGGAAAGGGACAGTGAGAGTGATAGTATGAGTGAGAGTGGAAGTGAGAGGGGACTGAGAGTGAGAGTGCAAGTGAGAAGGGGGCTGAGAGTGAGAGTGAAAGTGAGAAAGGGTCTGAGAGTGAGAGTGCAAGTGAGAGGGGGGCTGAGAGTGAGAGTGAAAGTGAGAAGGGGTCTGAGATTGAGAGTGCAAGGTGGGTTGGGGGCTGAGAGTGAGAACGGGGCTGAGAGTGAGAAAGGGGCTGAGAGTGAGAAAGGGGCTGAGAGTTGAGAATGAAAGTGGTAAGGGGTCTGAGAGTGAGAGTGCGAGTGAAAGGGGGGCTGACAGCGAGAGTGAAGTGAGAAAAGTTCTGAGAGTGAGAATAAGAGTCCAAGGAGGGCTGAGGTTAAGACAGGGGCTGAGGGCGAGAGCAGGAAAGAGCCGAGTGCAGCCGAGGAGACGCCTCAGGGTATTTTGAGAATTCTCAAGAAGATGGCGAGTAAAGCCACGGAGATGCCTCAGCGGGACGAAATCACAGAAGGTGCAGCAGCAGAGGTCAGTGGCAGTGGCGTTGCAGCAGATGCATCTTCTGAGTCAAAGGAAATCACAGAAGGTGCAGCAGCAGGCAGGGCAGAGCCAGAGGCCACGATGGCAAGCACTGCAACAACCAGACGAGCCTCCCGTCTCCACCGCCCATCTTGTTGTTCTGCATCCCCTCACTCTTTCCCCCACCTCAACCGTCTCACCCAATGCCCCCAGCTCAGCCGTCCCGTCTGTCTCAGCTTCAGCCGTCCCCTCTGCCCCTAGTGCTTCCACTGCCCCTAGCGTTTCCTCTGTTCCCTCTGTTTCCTCCCAGCCCTGCTAATTCTTGGATCCGCCCAGCACAGCCTTCTTCCCACTCCGACTCAGGCTCGGACTCTGACTGGTCCGACTCCGAACCTGCGCCCAAGCCTGTGCCCATCCGAGCCTGGAGGGCAGGCATGGCGAGCGCAGCACTGGCTCCTGCGCCTGCCGCCTCTCCTCCCCCACAAACTGCAGCGGTGGGGCGACTGCAGAGTGACTTCCTCAACCGCTTCCAGCAGCAGCAGCCGGAGGAGCAGCAACAGCAGCAGGCCTCTGAGGCTCCCCTCACACCTCCACAGCAGCAACAGCAGCATCTTTGAATTCCGCTGCAGTTGTGGACTCTTCTGCTGACGTGGCGCAGGCTGCTGATGTGGCGCAAGTTGCTGATGTGGTGCAACCTGTGGACATGAAGCACGCAGCTGAGGTCAAAGCAGGTGACAAGTCAGAATTACCTGCTGGTGGTGATGATGCGATTGCTGATAAGGAACAGTCTGCACATGTGGTATCAGCTGCTGACGTGGCACCCCCTGCTGATGTGGACGTGGAGGGGCGATTCCAGACCATCTTCTCCAGAGGGGTCAGCCACCAGCATCAAAGATGCTGCTGATGTGGCAGCTGAGGTGGATGCTGATGTGGCAGCTGAGGTGGCTCTGGATGCAGCTGGAGGTGCTAGTTTGCTGCTGGCAAGTGAGTTGGTTGCACCTGTGCTGCAGACGAGAGGAGAGGCCGAGGAGGTGGAAGCAGAACAGGAGAAAGCAGATGTATTTTCGGGACCAGATTCTGAACCTGACTCTGATTCTGACGTGGCTGCTGATGTGTCTGTTGACATGGCTGCTGATGTGTCTGTTGACATGGCTGCTGATGTGTCTGTTGACATGGCTGCTGATGTGTCTGTTGACATGGCTGCTGATGTGTCTGTTGGCGTGGCGGCTGATGTGGCTGCTGACATGGCTCTGCGAGTGCCTGGAGGTGAAACTGCAGTGGTGCCATCTCCATCACGATCAGACTCCGAGTCTGACTCTTCTTTCGGAACTGATGTGGCTGCTGACGTGGCCGCTGATGTGGGCTGCTGACGTGTCGTCTGATGTGGCACCGTGTGCGGCTGGAGGTGAGACTGCAGCACTGCCATCCCCATCAGGACCAGACTCTGAGGTTGACTCTGCACCAGAAGCTGATGTGGCTGCTGACGTGGCTCTGCATGCGTCTGACTGTGAAGCTTCAGCTCTGCCATCGCCACCAGGATCAAACTCTGACGTTGACTCTGCACCGGAACAAGAGAGGGTGGAGGAAGAGACAAGGAGTGAGGATGCTGAGAGGGAGGAGGAAGAGACAAGGAGTGTGGAGGCTGAGAGGGAGGAAGAAGAGACAAGGAGTGTGGAAAGCAGAGTGGGAGGAGGAAGAGACAAGGAGTGAGGAAGCAAGAGAGGGAGGAGGAAGAGACAGGAGTGAGGATGTAGAGAAAGAGGAGGAAGAGAGGGGGAGTGAGAAAGCAGAGAGTGCGGAGGAAGATGGGGGTAGTGATGATAAAGCAAGGCTGCAGGACGTTGAAGTAGAGGCTGTAGTGATGGGTGGGGCGGCAGTTGTGGCTGTCGCGGTGCTTGCAGGGGTGGATGGGGCGGCAGCGGACGAGGAGGGTGAGGGGATGCTGGGAGCAGTGGAGGGCAGGGAGCTGTTGGGGGCGGAGGAGGGAGAGGAGAGTGAGGAGGGTAAGGAGAGTGAAGAAGCTGGGGAGAGTGAGGAGAGTGAGGAAGCTAAAGAGGTGAAGGAGGCTAAGGAGGAGCATGAGGAGGCCGAGTCACATCTGATGATGGCTGAGTCACGCTCTTATGATGCTGAGTCACATTCGGATGCTGAGTCACGCTCTGATGCTGAGTCACGCTCTGATGCTGAGTCACGTTTCTGATGCCTGAATCACATTCTGATGCTGAGTCACGTTTCTGATGCTGAGTCACGTTCTGATGCTGAATCACATTCTGATGCTGAGTCACGTTCCTGATGCTGAGTCACGTTCTGATGCTGAGTCACGTTCTGATGCTGAATCACATTCTGATGCTGAGTCACGTTCTGATGCTGAGTCACGTTCTGATGCTGAGTCCACATTCTGACTGCTGAGTCACGTTCTGATGCTGAATCACATTCTTGATGCTGAGTCACGTTCTGATGCTGAGTCACGTTCTGATGCTGAGTCACGTTCTGATGCTGAGTCATGTTCTGATGCTGAATCACATTTCTGATGCTGATTTCGCATGCTGAGTCACTTTCCGGACGCAGCTTCTGCAGTAACTGTACCTCAATTCTCCTGCGGCACCTCATTTGCCAGCTGGGGATGAAGCAGCTGCTCCTCTCAGTGCTACCTCCTCTCCTGTCTCTGCCACTCCCACCCAAGTGGACTCACCTGCTGTGCCTGAAACTGCTGCTGCAGCGCCTGATTTGCCTGCTCTGCTTGATTCACCTGCTGCCACATGATTCACCTGCTGCACCTGATTCACCTGCCGCACCTGATTCACCTGCCGCAACCTGATTCACCTGCCGCACCTGATTCACCTGCCGCACCTGAATTCACCTGCCACACTTGATTCCCCTGCCGCACCTGATTCACCTGCCGCACCTGATTCACCCTGCCGCACCTGATTCACCTGCCGCACCTGATTCACCTGCCGCACCTGATTCGCCTGCTGCACCTGAATCACCTGTTTGCACTCTGATTCACCTGTGCACCTGATTCACCTGTTGCACCTGATTCACCTGTTGCACCTAATTCACCTGTTGCTCCCTGATTCATCTGTTGCACCTGATTCACCTGCCGCACCTGATTCACCTGCCGCACCTGATTCCCTGCCTTACCTGATTCCCCTGCTGCCACCTGACTCATCTGCAGCGTTTGAAACACCTGCCGCACCTGATTCACCTGCAGCATCTGAAACACCTGCTCCACCTGATTCGCCTGCCACACTTGATTCCCCTGCCGCACCTGATTCCCCTGCCGCACCTGATTCCCCTGCCGCACCTGATTCACCTGCCGCACCTGATTCACCTGCCGTCACCTGATTCCCCTGCCGCACCTGATTCCCCTGCCAGAGCTGAACTAGCTGCTTCTTTCGGCTCTGCCTCCCCTCCTGCCTCTGATACCCAGTCGGTGGCCTCAAGTTGAGAGCAAAGAGGAGGAGGAGGAGAGGGGAGTGGCACCTGCTATTGCTATTCTTATTCACCTGACTCACCTGCCGCACCTGATTTCAGCTGCTGCTTTTGAAACACCTGTCACACCTTCCAGGGTTTGAACCAGCTGCTTCTTTGAGCCATGCCTCCTCTCTGGCCTCTGCCACCCAGTTGGTGGCTCAGCGTGAGAGCGAGGAGGAGAGGCAAGAGGAGGAAATGGCGTGGAAAGAGGAGGAAGGGGAAAAGGAGGCGGAGGAAAGTGAGTGGGGGGAGGAGGAAAGTGAAAGGGCGGAGGAGGAAGAGGAGTTGGAAGAGGAGGAAGGTAAGCGGGAAGAGGAAGGAGAGGAGAGAGGAGTACGAGGCAAGAGGAGAGGTGGAGAGTGGAGGGGAAGAAGCAGAGACGGTGGAGGAAGAGGAGAGGGGAGAGGAGACGGAAGATGGGAAAAAGGAGAAGGCGGAAGAGGAGGAGAGCAGAGTGGAGGTGGGAGAGGAGGAGAAGGAGAAGCAGGAAGATGTGTTAGTGGCAGAGGAAGGATTGGGAGAAGATGGAGACTTTGAGAGAGAGAGCATGAATGGAGAGGGTGAGGAGGGGAGAGAGTGTGGAGGGAGAGAGTGTCGCGGGAGAGAGTGTGGAGGGAGAGAGTGTCGCGGGAGAGAGTGTGGAGGGAGAGAGTGTCGCGGGAGAGAGTGTGGAGGGAGAGAGTGTCGCGGGAGAGAGTGTAGCGGGAGAGAGCGCAGAGGGGGAGGATAATGTGGCAGTGCCGGCAGTTGATGCAAGTGTGAGTGGCGAGAGCACATCAGAGGCTGCTTCGAAGAACATTGAAGCGTCAGAGTCTGCGCCAGTGGCAGCAGAAGCGGAAGGGGCAGACATGGGAGGATCAGCAGCGGTGGAAGGCGTAGAAGCGGTGGAAGGCGAAGCAGCGGTGGAAGGCGAAGCAGCAGTGGAAGGCGAAGCAGCAGTGGAAGGATCAGCAGTGGTGCAAGGGTCAGCAGCGTTGGAAGGAGAAAAAGCAATGGAAGGATCAGTAGCAGCACCAGTGGCTGAAGCACCAGAAGCAAGGGAGGACGAGCAAGCAGCAGCAGTTGAGACAACACCTGCCTTGGTGGAGCAGGACGCAAGCAGCAGCAATGGCAGCAGAAGCTCCATCGATTGACACTTGTTCACCCTCTTCCCACCAACTCCTCGGCCCTTGCTGTTCCCTTTCCTCCCTCTCCTCTCCCTGCGCCCTCTGCTCCATCTGTTCCCTCTCCTCCATCTGTTTCCTCTCGCCCTGCCAACTCGTGGATCCGCCCTGCACAGCCGTCTTCCCACTCTGGCTCTGATTCCGAATCAGGACTGTCCGACTCCGAACCTATGCCCAAGCCTGTGCCCATCCGAGCCTGGCGGGCAGGCATGGCGAGTACAACAGCAGAAGCACCGGCCCCTGTGCCTGCTCCCGCTCCTGTTGTCCAAACTGCAGCGGTGGGGCGACTGCGGAGTGACTTCCTCAACCGCTTCCAGCAGCAGCAGCAGCAATCGGAGCAGCCCTATGTGCCTTCCTCTTGGGTCTCCACAGCAGGATCAGCAGCAGCAGCAGGTGGAGGGAGAGAAGGAGGGAGAGGAAGAGGGGTGTGGCGATAATGGAAGTGAAGGAAGGGGGTGTGTCAACAGGAGATGATGAAGCTGCAGTGGCAATGGCAGAGGGTGAGGAGGACGGGGTGGTGAAGGAAGAGGGAGAGCAAGCAACGGAGGAAGAAAGAGTGGAAGGGGGAGAGAACGAGCGAGAGGAAGCGACAGATGAGGAGAGAGTGGAGGTGACAGAGGAAGAGGGAGAGGAAGCGAGAGAGGAAGAGGGAGAGGAAGCGAGAGAGGAAGAGGGAGAGGAAGTGAGAGAGGAAGAGGGAGACGAAGCGAGAGAGGAAGAGGGAGAGGAAGCAACAGAGGAGGAGGGAGTGGAAGTGGGTGCGGTTGAACTTGAGAATGTGGGGGATAAGGATGCAAGAATGGACGAGGAAGAGAGGATGGAAGAGGGTAAGGTAGAGATTGCGGAAGAAGGTAAGCAAGTGAGTGAGAAAGAGTTTGAGGAAGAGAGGAAGGAAGAGAAGGAAGAGGAGGGTAAGGAAGAGAGGGTGGAAGAGGGTGAGGAGGAGAGAGTGGAAGATGGCGGTAAGGAGCGAGAAGAAGCGAGTAGGGAAGAGAGGATGGAAGAGGAAGAGAGAGTGGAAGAGGAAGAGAGGGTGGAAGAGGAAGAGAGGGTGGAAGAGAGTAAGGAGGAGAGGGAGGAAGTAGGTACGGAAGAGAGGGAGGACGAGGGTACCGAGAAGAGGGCGGAAGAGAGTAAGGAAGAAACAGAGGAAGAGGTTAAGGAAGAAAGAGAGGAGGAAGTGACGGGAGAAAGAGAGGAAGAGGCTATGGAGAAGACAAAGGGAAATGATGCCTTGGCTGTCCCTTCCCCACCCGCACTCTCATCCTCTCATCCTCCCACCACCATCTCTCCAGCTCAACATCCCACCACAGCCATAACCGTCAAGCCACGTGCCTCAGATTCATGGATGAAAAAGCAGCAGACCCACTCCTCCGATTCAGGCTCGGACTCTGACTGGTCCGACTCCGAACCTGCGCCGAAGCCTGTGCCCATCCGAGCCTGGAGGCCAGGTGCGGGGAGTGGTGTAGCGTCAGTGGCGGCTGCGCCTGCCGCGTCTCCTGCTGCCCAGCCAGCAGTGGTGGGGCGACTGCGAAGTGACTTCCTCAACCGCTTCCAGCAGCAGCAGCAGCAGCAGCAGCAGCAGATGGAGGGAGAAGGGAAGAGAGAGGGAGAGGATGCGACAATACTGGAGGTGAAGGACGAGGGTGTGTCAACAGCGGAAGATCATGAGGGAGAGGAAGTGATAGTGACAGAGAGTGAGGAGGACAGAGGCGGTTAAGAAAGGAGATTCAACAATAATGGAGGTGATGGAAGTGGGTATGTCAGCGGAAGATCATGAGGGAGAGGAAGTGATAGTGACAGATGGTGAGGAGGAGAGAGCGGTCAAGGAAGAGGGAGTGGAAGCGAGAGAGGGAGAGGGAGTGGAAGCAACAGAGGAAGAGGGAGAGGAAGTGGGTGCGATCGAGGGTGTGGGGGGTAAGGAAGCAAGGATGGACGAGGAAGAGAGGGTGGAAGAGGGTAAGGAAGAGAGAGTGGAAGAGGGTAGGGTCGAGAGGGTGGAAGAGGGTAGGGACGAGAGATTGGAAGAGGATAAGGAAGAGAGAGTGGAAGAGGGTAAGGAAGAGAGAGTGGAAGAGGGTAAGGAAGAGAGAGTGGAAGAGGGTAAGGAAGAGAGAGTGGAAGAGGATAAGGAAGAGAGAGTGGAAGAGGGTAGGGACGAGAGAGTGGAAGAGGATAAGGAAGAGAGAGTGGAAGAGGGTAAGGAAGAGAGAGTGGAAGAGGGTAAGGAAGAGAGAGTGGAAGAGGGTAAGGAAGAGAGAGTGGAAGAGGGTAAGGAAGAGAGAGTGGAAGAGGGTAAGGAAGAGAGAGTGGAAGAGGGTAAGGAAGAGAGAGTGGAAGAGGGTAAGGAAGAGAGAGTGGAAGAGGGTAAGGAAGAGAGAGTGGAAGAGGGTAAGGAAGAGAGAGTGGAAGAGGGTAAGGAAGAGAGAGTGGAAGAGGGTAAGGAAGAGAGAGTGGAAGAGGGTAAGGAAGAGAGAGTGGAAGAGGGTAAGGAAGAGAGAGTGGAAGAGGGTAAGGAAGAGAGAGTGGAAGAGGGTAAGGAAGAGAGAGTGGAAGAGGGTAAGGAGAGAGTGGAAGAGGGTAAGGAAGAGAGAGTGGAAGAGGAAGAGAAAGTGGAAGAGGGTAAGGAGGAGAGTACAGAAGAGGCTGGGTATGAGCGAGTGGAAGAGGATAGTGAGGTAGTGGCAGCGAGTAAGGAGGAGAGGATGGACGAGGAAGAGAGAGTGGAAGAGGGTAAGGAGGAGAGGATGGAAGAGATGCAGGAAGAGGCTAAGGAAGAAAGAGAGGAAGAGGGTAACGAAGAGACCAAGGAAGAGGGTAAGGAAGAGATGAAGGAAGAAAGAGAGGAAGGTGGTAATGAAGAGACTAAGGAAGACAGTAAGGAAGAGATGAAGGAAGGAGAGGAAGAGGCTAAGGAGGAAATCAAGGGAGATGGTATCTTGGTTGTCTCTTCTCCACCCCCACTCGCCTCCCCCCAGCCTCCCACCCTCCTCGCTTCACCTCAAATTCCCCCACCTCCCGTTACCATCAAGCCCCGCGCTGCTGACTCATGGATGAGGCGACCCAATCAGGCTGACTCTGACTCAGCCTCGGACTCTGACTGGTCCGACTCCGAACCTGCGCCCAAGCCTGTGCCCATCCGAGCCTGGAGAGCAGGTGCGGCGAGTGGTGTGGCGGCAGTAGCACCTGCGCCTGCCGCCTCTCCTCCCCCACAAACTGGCCCCGTGGGACGACTGCGGAGTGACTTCCTCAACCGCTTCCAGCAGCAGCACCAGCAGCAGGAGCAGGAGCAGCAGCAGCAGGAGCAACCCTCGGTGCCACCCATTAGGTCCCCACAGCAGCAGCAGCAAGTTTCTGAGCCTCCGTCACAACCCCTGCACGTGCAGCAACAGCAAGAACAGCAGCAGCAACAGGAGCAGCAGCAACAGGAGCAGCAACAACAACAGCAGCACGTTCTTACTGATGCTCCTGCTCAACTTGTGACTGTTACAGGTGTGGTTGACTCTGATATTGCGGCTGATGCTTCTGCTGCAGCTGAGGATGAATACGTTCCTGAAAACTCTGGTGATTTGGCAGCAGAGCCAGGAGCAGCAGCAACAACAACAGGGGCAGAAACGGCACTGGCAGTTGTTGCTGGGGATGAGGTTAGAGAGGGAGAGGGGGCAGAGACGGTGCAAGAGGAAGAGGTGCAGTCAGGTGAATTTTCAGGTGGAGAGGTGTTACAAGGCTACCTGGTTCCGGCTGACGTGGCATCAGACCCATCCACTCCTGTGCCAGCTGACGTGGCATCAGGCCCATCCACTCCTGTGCCAGCTGACGTGGCATCAGGTCCATCCACTTCTGTACCAGCTGATATGGCAGCAGATGCACCGTCATTACCTGAACCATCTGTTGATCCAACAATCGTCTCCTCCTCTCAGCCACTTTCCTCCCCTCAGCCTTCTACTCCTCCTCACCGCACAGCACCTGCCGTTACCATCAAGCCTTGCGCTGCAGACTCATGGATGAAGCGACCCAATCAGGACTCTGACTCAGGCTCGGACTCTGATTGGTCCGATTCCGAACCTGCGCCCAAGCCCGTGCCCATCCGAGCCTGGAGGCCAGGCATGGCAAGCGCAGCGGCAGCAGCACCGACCCCTGCATCTGCCGCCTCTCCTACTGCAGCAGCACCGGCTCCTACCCAAACTGCAGCAGTGGGGCGACTGCGGAGTGACTTCCTCAACCGCTTCCAGCAGCAGCCTGAGCAACTCCCTGTGCCTCCTTTCAGATCTTCACAGCAGCAGCATCAGCAGCTGTTGGCCGTGTCTCCTGGTGAGCAACCCCGCACTCCAGAGGTTGATGCTTCCGTTGGTGCTGCTGCTACAGCTGCTACAGCTGGCATTGCAGCGGAAGCTGCTACTACACCTGCTAGTGCTGCTTCAGTTGTTGCTGCTGCTTCGGCTGCTACAGCTGGCAGTGCTGATTCAGCGAGTGCTGCCGCGACAACTGATAGTGCTTCCTCTGCTGCTGTGGTGGCTGGTGCAACAGCCGTTGCCGGTGCAACAGCTATGGCTGCTGCGGCCTTAGCTGCCACAGCACCTGCTGTCTCGGTGCCCGTGGAACAGGGAGAGGTAGAACAGGGAGAGGGCGTCATTAGCAAGGTAGAGGAGGAGGGGGGTGAGTTTGAAGGCAGAGTAGAGGGTGGGGGGAGCATGAGAGCAGAGGGTGTGGAATCTGCGGCTGCTGAAGGTCCGCTGGCTGATGCTGTGGGGGAGTTCTCTGCTGAGGTGGCATCAGAAACTCCTGCTGACGTGGCAGTGGAAGCAACGGCTGATGTGGCCACGGAAGCACCTGCTGATGTGGCAGCGGAAGCACCTGTTGACATGGCAGCGGAAGCACCTGCTGACGTGACAGCGGAAGCGGCTGCTGACGTGGCATCGGGTGCGGCTGCTGACGTGGCATCGGGAGCGGCTGCTGAAGTGGCATCGAAAGCACTTGCTGAGGTGGAGGAGCAGGAGAATGAGGCATGGGAGGAAGAGAAGGGGGAAGAGGGTGGAGAAGGAGGAGAGGAGGAAAACGAGGAGGATGAAAAAGAAGAGGAAGAAACGAAAGAAACAAAGGAGGAAGAATTGGAGAATGAGGAGGCGGAGGTAGAGGAGGGTGCAGAAGGTGGGGAGGCTGCGGAGGGGGAGGAGGGTGCAGGGGAAGAGGAGGAAGGAGGGAGTGAGGCAGGAGAGGAATCCACTGAGGAGGTGACTGTAGAAGTGACAGAGGAATATGAGGAGGTGACTGTAGAGGAAACGGAGGAGTATGAAGAAGTGACAGTCGAAGTGACAGAGGAATATGAGGAAGTGACTGTAGAAGTGGAAGAAACGGGAGAATATGAGGAGGTGACTGTAGAAGTGGAAGAAACGGGAGAATACGAGGAGGTGACTGTAGAAGAAACGGCGGAATACGAGGAGGTAACTGTAGAGGTAACAGAAGAATACACTGAAGAGGAAGTTACTGTAGAAGTTACAGAGGAGTATACAGAAGAGGAGGTTACTGTAGAGGTTACAGAGGAAGTCACAGACGAGGATAAATCAGAGGAGGTGGCAGAGGAGGGAGCAGGTGCAGCAGGTGGAAAAGAAGGAGAAAGCGCAGAGGGACAAGATTCGGAAGGGGAGCAACAGGAGGAAGAGCAGGAGGAGGAACAGGAGGAGGAGCAGGAGGAGGAGTATGAAGAGTATGAGGAGCAGGAAGAGGAAGAAGAGGAAGAGGAGGAGGAAGAGGAGGAGGAGGAGGCAAGTGAAAAAGAGAGCACAAACAGCAGCCCGAGGAGCAAGCCAGAGGAGAAGGAAGAGGAGGAGGACGAGGAAGCGAGGATAAAGCGGCAGGAGCAGGAGGAGAGGAACGCGGAGGAGCAGCGGGCGCTGCGGCTGCGTGTGGCGAGCATGAAGCGGTTCAATGCGGTGCTGGGGGAGCTCAGATTCCGCCAGGGCATCCGCGAGGAGGGGGAGGGGGAGGGCGGCACAGGGGGAGGCGGAGGGGGAGGAGCAGGGGCGGGTGAGGGGAGCGGGACGGGCGCGTCTGGGACAGGAGGTGGAGGTGTTGTGGGGCAAGCGGGGGGAGCAGCAGCAGGAGTGGCTCCTATTGCGCTTCCGGCCATGGCAGGTGCTGCTGGTCGCCAGCAGCCCAATCCTCACAGTCCGGGCAAGGTGAGCTGCATGTTTCTGCGTACTCTATTCTGACTTCCTCGCTCTTATTGCTGTTCCTGCCATGCTGCTGCTGCTGCTCTGCTGCTGCTGGTTGCCAGGCCAATCCTCACAGTCCGGGCAAGGTGAGCTGCATGTTTCTGCGTACCCTATTCTGACTTCCTCGCTCTTACCACTTGTAGATAGCCTGAAGTCCCAACCCCCTCATTTTACCAATGTCGTGACAACCTTTCCCCTTTCTTCTCGCTCTTATCCTCCACCCCTTCCACCCCCTTTGCAGCGATCGCGGATGCTGTCGCTGGTGGCGTCACAGGGCCTGCACGTGCCGGCCAGTGCAGTGACTCGCGAGATCATGGGGCTCACAGGGGGGAGTGCTGGCTGGGGGCGAGCCGCAGTATGGTATCCTGGGACATAATGCTCACTCACCCGTGTTGCTTCCCTTACCCCCCTTTCATTGCTTGCAGCGATCGCGGATGCTGTCGCTGGTGGCGTCACAGGGCCTTCACGTCCCGGCCAGTGCAGTGACTTGGGAGATCATGGGGCTCACAGGGGGGAGTGCTGGTGTTGCGCGTACCTCTTAACCATCCCTTCCGTCTCCCACTCTTTGTGTCTCTTCTCCCTCCTCCCCCCCTTGCAGCGTTCACAGATGCTCTCTCTGGTGGCGTCACAGGGCCTGCATGTGCCGGCCAGTGCAATGACTCGAGAGATCATGGGACTCACAGGAGGGAGTGCTGGTGCTGCTGATACCTGTTAACCATTTCTCCTCTCTCTCACTCTTCGCATCTTCCCTTCGAACTTGCAGCGATCGCGGATGCTCTCTCTGGTGGCGTCACAGGGCCTGCATGTGCCGGCCAGTGCAATGACTCGAGAGATCATGGGACTCACAGGAGGGAGTGCTGGTGCTGCTGATACCTGTTAACCATTTCTCCTCTCTCTCACTCTTCGCATCTTCCCTTCGAACTTGCAGCGATCGCGGATGCTCTCTCTGGTGGCGTCACAGGGCCTGCACGTGCCGGCCAGTGCAGTGACTCGAGAGATCATGGGACTCACAGGAGGGAGTGCTGGTGCTGCTGATACCTGTTAACCATTTCTCCTCTCTCTCACTCTTCGCATCTTCCCTTCGAACTTGCAGCGATCGCGGATGCTCTCTCTGGTGGCGTCACAGGGCCTGCACGTGCCGGCCAGTGCAGTGACTCGGGAGATCATGGGGCTCACAGGAGGGAGTGCTGGTGCTGCTGATACCTGTTAACCATTTCTCCTCTCTCTCACTCTTCGCATCTTCCCTTCGAACTTGCAGCGATCGCGGATGCTCTCTCTGGTGGCGTCACAGGGCCTGCACGTGCCGGCCAGTGCAGTGACTCGAGAGATCATGGGACTCACAGGAGGGAGTGCTGGTGCTGCTGATACCTGTTAACCATTTCTCCTCTCTCTCACTCTTCGCATCTTCCCTTCGAACTTGCAGCGATCGCGGATGCTCTCTCTGGTGGCGTCACAGGGCCTGCACGTGCCGGCCAGTGCAGTGACTCGGGAGATCATGGGGCTCACAGGGGGGAGTGCTGGGCTGGGGAGTCGGAGTATGGTGAAAGAGAGAAAGCGGCCTTCGCTGCTGGATAGTAGTGGTAGCGAGGAGGAGGAAGAGGAGGAGGAGGAAGAGGAGGAAGAGGAGGAAGAGGAGGTGGAGGAGGAGGAGGAAGAGGATGATAATGATGAGGAGGGTGAGGGTGGAGCAGAGGAAGGGGAGGGAGAAGAGGAGGAAGAGGAAGAAGAGGAGGGGAAGGAAGAAGATTATGGAGAGGCAGAGGAGGAGGAGGGGGAAGAGGGGGGAGGCGAGGAAGGGGAGGATACACAGGAGGAGGAAGATGGAATGGAGCAAAAAGGTAACGAAGAGAATGAGGAGGAGGAGGAGGAGGAGGAGGAGGAGGAGGAGGAGGAGGAGGAGGAGGAGGAGGAGGAGGAGGAGGAGGAGGAGGAGGAGGAGGAGGAGGAGGAGGAGGAGGAGGAGGAGGAGAACTTAGAGCACAAGGCAGGACACGCAGATATGGAGGTTGGGGGCGAGAACTCTTGGAATGTTGAGGAGGCTGAGGAGGCTGAGGAGGCTGAGGAGGCTGAGGAGGCTGAGGAGGCTGAGGAGGCTGAGGAGGCTGAGGAGGCTGAGGAGGCTGAGGAGGCTGAGGAGGCTGAGGAGGCTGAGGAGGCTGAGGAGGCTGAGGAGGCTGAGGAGGCTGAGGAGGCTGAGGAGGCTGAGGAGGCTGAGGAGGCTGAGGAGGCTGAGGAGGCTGAGGAGGCTGAGGAGGCTGAGGAGGCTGAGGAGGCTGAGGAGGCTGAGGAGGCTGAGGAGGCTGAGGAGGCTGAGGAGGCTGAGGAGGCTGAGGAGGCTGAGGAGGCTGAGGAGGCTGAGGAGGCTGAGGAGGCTGAGGAGGCTGAGGAGGCTGAGGAGGCTGAGGAGGCTGAGGAGGCTGAGGAGGCTGAGGAGGCTGAGGAGGCTGAGGAGGCTGAGGGGGCTGAGGAGGCTGAGGAGGCTGAGGAGGCTGAGGAGGCTGAGGAGGCTGAGGAGGCTGAGGAGGCTGAGGAGGCTGAGGAGGACGATGAGAACAATGGAGACGAGGGCATAGAGCAGTACCCAGCGGAAGAAGCAGGGTACACGGATATGGCAGCTGGGGGTGAAGACTCTTCTAGTATTGAGGCTGAGGATAGTCCAGCTGAACAGGCCAATGAGAAGAGTGCAGAGGAGGAGGTAGAGCAGGAACCAGAGGACGATGCAGGGCACATGGATACGGAGGCTGGAGGGGAAGAGTCGTGGAATATGGAGGCTGAGGAGGGTCCAGCTGAGAAGGGTTCAACCGAGGAGGAAGAGGAGAATGAGTTAGAGCACGAGACAGGGCACACGGATATGCAGGCTGGAGGTGAAGAGTTTTGGAGTATGGAGGCTGAGGATGCTCCCGCTGAGGAGAGCCCAGCTGAGGCAGGAGGAGGAGCGGATGAGGAAGCAGGCAGTGATTCTGCCAGAGACCCCCTGTTGAATGTGTCTGAGGGTGAGGGGCGTGTGAAGGCCCTTGCTGCTGCTATGCTGTCGCCTACTGCTGCTGCTGCTGCTGCTGCTGCTGCTGCTGCTGCTGCTGCTGCTGCTGCTGCTGCTGCTGCTGCTGCTGCTGCTGCTGCTGCTGCTGCTGCTGCTGCTGCTGCTGCTGCTGCTGCTGCTGCTGCTGCTGCTGCTGCTGCTAGTACCACCATTGCATCCCCTAAAGAGGGAGTGGCGTTAGGTGTTGCTGGGGGGCGTGTGAAGGCTCTTGCTGCTGTGGTGGCGTCTGCTGCTTCTGCTGATACCACCCCTGCACCCTCTAAAGAGCCAGCGGCTGTAGATGTTGCTGGGGGAAGGGTGAAGGCCCTTGCTGCGGTGGTGGCGTCTGCCGCTGCTGATACCACCAGTGCAACCCCTAAGGAGGCTGCGACTGTGGACGTTTCTGCTGGGAGGGTGAAAGCACTGGCTGCTGTGGTGGCTTCATCTGCGTCTGCTGACGCCACCAGTGCCCCCTCTAAGGAACCGGCGACTCTGAATGTTGCAGAGGGGCGTGTGAAGGCTCTTGCTGCTGTAGTGGCGTCTGCAACTCCTGACACCACAGCTGCAGCCCCGAAAGAGGCAGCAACTATAAATGTTCCTGGCGGGCATGTGAAAGCTCTGGCTGCCGTGGTTGCATCAACTGCTGCTCCTGCTGACGCCACCAGTCCATCCCCCAAAGAGGCGGCGGCTGTAGATATCGCTGGCGGGCATGTGAAAGCTCTGGCTGCTGTGGTGGCGTCTGTGGGTGCTGCTGGCGCCACCAGTGCACCCTCTAACGAGTCAGCGGGTCTAGATGTTGCTGGGGGGCGTGTGAAGGCTCTTGCTGCTGTGGTGGCGTCTGCTGCTTCTGCTGATACCACCCCTGCACCCTCTAAAGAGCCAGCGGCTGTAGATGTTGCTGGGGGGCGTGTGAAGGCTCTTGCTGCCTTTGCGGCTGCTCCTGCTGCTGATGATACCACCAGTGCACCCTCTAAAGAGTCACCGGGTCTAGATATTGCTGGGGGGAGGGTGAAGGCGCTGGCTGCTGCGGTGGCATCCACTGCTGCTGCTGACGCCACCAGTGCACCCCCTAAAGAGGTGGTGGTGACTGGAGACGTTGCTGAGGGATGGGTGAAGGCTCTTGCTCCCTCTGTGGCTGCTCCTGCTGCTGCTGATACCACCATTGCACCCCTTGAAGAGGCAGCGGCTCTAGATGTTGCAGAGGGGCGTGTGAAGGCTCTTGCTGCTGTGGTGGCTTCTGTGGCAGCTGCTGACTCTGTCAGTGCAACGCCTAAAGGTGTGGCGAATCCTGATTTTGCAGAGGGGCGTGTGAAGGCTCTTGCTGCTCGGGCTGCCTCTGCTGCTGCAAACAACAGTGCTGAAAGCACCGGCGGTGCTTCAAAGGACTTGGTCTCTCTGGAGGTTGGAGAGGGGCGGGTGAGAGAGCTCGCTGCTCTGGCTGCCTCTGCTGCTGCCAACAGCAGTGCAACCGCCAGTGCTGCTTCAAACGACCCCTCTCTGGATGTTGCTGGGGGGAGAGTGAGAGAGCTCGCTGCTCTGGCTGCCTCTGCTGCTGCCAATAACAGTGCTGAAACTGCTGACAGTGCTCCAAAGGACTCCTCTCTGGACGCTGGTGAGGGCCGTGTGAAGGCCCTGGCTGCTCTTGCTTCCACTGGTGCTACCTCTGGTGACAATGTTAGTCAAGGCCAATCTAATAGCAATGGTGAACCCACCACGCTGTACGGCAATGACAAGAGCATCCAGCAGCAGCAGCAGCAGCAGCAGCACTACCCTGCTCCCTCCCCACGCCTCATCCACCGTCCCTACTCCCCGTCACCGCGCTCCATCCCTCACTCCCCATCCGCCCATCTCCCCTGCTACACTCGCTGCCCCTCCACCCATCTCGTGAGCCCCATTCGCCCCCGAGGAAGCTTCAGCCCTAGTAGGTTCCGGGCATTTGATGCTGCAGCAGTGGCAGCAGCAGCCTTGGCAGGAGTTTCCCCTCAGCGCCGCCGCTCCCCTTCGCCGAACCTCCCACGTTATTCCGCCTCTCCGGGGGCTTATCCTAGCGGCTTTCCCATCCGAACCTCGTCTGTGAGCCCGAGCCAGTCGCCCATGGCCCGAGGCATGCCTCCACGGTTGCCGCCGAGGTTCGGCAGCAGCGTGATGTTCGGTGGGGATGCGAGGGACCTGAGGTTTGGCGAGTTCCGTGATTCGTCGAGAGATTCGGATTTCCGCGAGGGGGCGGGGAGGAGAGGTGCTGGCATGGGGGAGGTAGGGGGAGGAGGAGCAGGAGGGGTTGGGGGTTTGGGGAATGGCGGAGGGAGTGGGGGATACAGCAAATCTCGGTCGTTGGATCGACAGATAAGAGTGGGATCACCAGGAGGGTTGGTGGGAGGTGCGGGGGAAGTGCTTATAATGAAGGGCAGTGGGGACATAGATGGAGAAGGGCACGAGGAGGAAATGCTGGGGGATGATGCAGACAGCGAGGAGGAGAGAGAGGAGGAAGATGAAGGGGAGGATGAGGACGATGCGGAGGAGGGAGAGGAGGAGCGAGAGGAGGAGGGTCCAGCGAGTGAGGGCATGCAGACAGGATGGCCAGCAGCTGCAACAGTGCCTTCAAGCGAGGCCAGCGGCAGTGGCGACAGCAACAGCGTTACTGCTACCAGCAATGGTGGCAGCAGCATGGGCAAGACATGGAAGGACATTCTGCTCTCTGTGAAAGCAGCGACTCAGCCCGGAGCAGCTGCTCCCGGTTCGAATGCAGGGAGGCAAGAGGGTGCAGGCGCTGCTGCCCTGGCGGCTGTAGCGGCGGAGGTTGTAGCGGGAATGCACGGAGGCAGGGAGGGAGGGGTGGGTGATGTGGCTGGGGTGTTGGGGAATGGAGCATTGGTGTTTGGTGCAGTTGATGTGGCGGGGGGGACGGCAGGGAAGTCGGTGGGGGCGATTGGAGAAATGCATGGGGAGGCGTGCCGGCAGGAGGGATGGAAGAGGGCGAGAAGCGTTGCAACTGGGGTAATGGCGACTGGTGGGGTGATGGCAGGTGGGCAGCAGCATTCGATATACAGAGGGATAGCAGAGGGAGAAGAGGAGGCAGGGATGGAGAACGAAGAGGAGGCTAGGAGCAGGGACGGACCAGCTGTGGTAGAAGGGAAAGTTGTTGGGGGGGTTGGAGCAGAAAAAGAGGCAGCAGAGGCAGAGGTTGCAGCTGCAAGCAGCAACACGGGTGCAGAGGCGAGAGGGAGGGTGGAGGAGTGGGGGGAGCAGAGTCCCATTAGGGAGCTGCTGGGGGCGTTGGAGTCTCCCACCAGATGGGCTCACCTGTGTGCCAAGATGGAGCAGCAGAGGCAGCTATATGAAGCCCTTGGTATGCTTATGTTGCTGTTCGGAAGGTCTTCATTTATTTGCAACTCGGGCTGCAGTTCCGGCACAGACTTTTCATTCCTCCCTTCGGTTTTTGGGACGTCTCCAAATTCTTCTTAATTATCATCCGCCTCCTTACTATACCTTGTCCCCCCTTCTGTTTGAGATTAGTTTTGAGAATTCTCAAAACTAATCCCTCCCTTCTCTCCCTCCTTTCAACTTTCCCACCAGATGACTCAAGAGCCACCCAGCTATCGGATCTGCCAGACGAGTTCATCGTCCAGATCCTCTCTCGACTCACCGACCCGCTCGACTGGGCGGCGTGTCTCGGCCTATCCCGGCGCTTCGCCGCCCTCTCCTGCCTCGCGCTGCAAGCGCTCTACCTCCTTCCGAACCGCCTGCTCCCCAAGCCTCTGCTGGCTCGGTACCTAGCCTGTTACCCGAACCTGGCATTGCTGTACCTGCCCTGGAATAGTCTGGAGGTTGAAGGGGACGATGTTTTCGAGATGATTGCTTCGTCCAGATTGGAGCTGCAGGCTCTGCACATTGATGTCTTCCCTGGTTACAATGTAAGTAGGTGTAATAGACATCTGCTAGACTGCTATGCGTTTTTTTTGTGAGTTTGGATGGAAAACTTTGACTATCTGTGCTGTTCAGAAACGATTTAAGAACCTTCTTTGTTTGTCCTAATTTTATAGAGGTTCCTTTTAGCTCCCCAATTCTCATATCTGCCCCATCTCCCCTCCTCTCCCTCTCCCCCCATCACCCACAGGAGCGCACCTCTGCAAGAACACCAGCAGGCCTCACCACCCTCTTCACCTCCCTCCCCTCCCTCCGCTCTCTCTCGCTCTGCACCGGCCGATTCATACGCTCCCTCCCGGCCTCCATCGCCCGCCTCTCGCTCTTAGAGGAGCTGCTTATAACGAATCAGTCTTCGAAGCTCGGTTTGCGTTCTCTTCCACCTGCCCTCGGTCAGCTTTCGAATCTTCGCCGCCTCGTGCTGGACTCCTGCTTGCAGCTCCCTACACTGCCTGAGGAAATTGGGCAGCTGACTGGATTGGAGGAGCTGGAGCTGCTGAGTCTGGATTGTCTACGCCAGCTGCCCGAAACTATCGGGCAGCTTAAGCGCCTGAAGTGGTTCAAGATGTGCTGGTGCATGTCAGTTCGCAGCCTGCCCGAGAGCATCGGGCAGCTGAAAGAATTGGAGGAGATGGTGATCAACATGGCAGCAAGTGAAACTTGGCTGGGCAGCCTAAAAGAGCTTCCTCAATCTTTCGGTCAGCTCTGCTCCCTGCGGTTCCTGAAGATTGTCGGCTGCCCGTTGATGCTGGATCTGCCCGAATCTTTCGGGCAGCTTTATCAGCTAGAAGAATTTGTCTTCGACAACAAGGGCTTTGCAGAGGAGTCCGAAGCTTGCGGACTTTTATCCCTGCCCAACTCCTTCGGACAGCTGACAAGTCTAGTGCGATTGGAGCTCCGCAACTGCTTCGCCCTCACCTCCCTGCCCGAATCTCTGGGGCAGCTTCCGTACCTCTACTCGCTGAAGCTCATTGGCTGCTATTCTCTTGCCACGTTGCCCGAATCTCTGGGCAGCTCGGGCAGCCTCCAGCTGCTTCTTGTGGATAACAAGGTGGATGATGATGAGGATGAGGAGGATGAGGATGGGGAGGAGGGTGAGGAGGAGGATGGGGAGGAGGATGGGATGAGCATAGTGAGCCATTCAACGGCCTTGGACATGCATATGAGCATGAACGGCACTGACGACACCGCTGCCAGCGACGATGGCGCAAGCACCGGCAGAAACGGGGACGAAGAAAATCACAATAGTTATGGTCATGACAATGTTGACGATAACGAGGAGGATGATGAGGAGGATGAGGATGATGATGGTCCGAGTGGTCTGCTCGCCCTGCCGGCATCCATGGGCATCACCCCATCAGCCATGTGCAATCTGCGCCAGCTGGTCCTACGAGCCAACGTCTCCCTCACCGCCCTCCCGCCCGCCTTCTTCTCTCTCCGACTCCTCGAAAGCCTCGTCCTTGACTTCACCGAGACCAGAAACCGGGAGTCATTCTCAGACCTGCCAGTGAATTCTCCCAGCCGCATGTGCTCCCGATCAGCGTCTCAGGCATCGCTCTCTGGTCTCGCTGCAGGGAGTAGCGCAGTTGGTATGGGCACAGGCAGCGATGCGGTTACCACAGAGACCGGCGGTGGGATAAACTCTTCCCTTATGCTGATTCTGCCGGCTGACTTGCCACCCACACCGGAGAAGAAAACCAAGCCTGCCGGGATAGCTGAGCTTCCAGAGGAGATTTCCCAGCTGGTTAGTCTTCGGCGGTTGGATCTGATTGGTTGCTCGAAGCTTTCCAAGCTGCCCGAGTCTCTGGGCAGCCTTCAGTTTCTGCAGAGGCTGGTGGTGGCGTTCTGTCCAGCCATTCAGGCTCTCCCGGCTGGCGTCGGGCAGCTGAAATTCCTCCAGACTTTTGTTGTCCAGAACTGCCCGAATCTGCTGTACCTGCCCGACTCATTGACAGCATTGACAGGGCTGCCCGAGCTGTGCATAGATGAGAAATCTGTGGGTGTGAAGATTCCAGAGCATTTGTTGAGGCTGCCTGGGTTCCGCCGTGACAGCTGTTTCTTTGAAGACCGGCTCTTCATTGACCTGATTGAGTAGATTACTGTTGAGTTCTTCTTGGCCCTTGTGTCCACAATGTGATGTGGTGATACCTTTTACAAGCCTCTTGTTGCACAGTGTATGATGTTCAATAATCAACTATTTAACCTTATTTTTCTATCCCTCAAAGATGTTGCATGGAGTGAAGATTTATGAGATCAGGATATCAATAAAGCTGGAAGTCTCCTACCGTATCACTTTGCACCATCATAACCAGCAAAATTCTCCTGATGAGATGAAGCACCAGCAGACCATTCAGTGGTCCAGAGTCCACACCACTGATGTGACTGTGGAATAGTTGGTTACATCCTGGAGTCTGCTTTGAGGTGTGGGATTGAGGTCTTTGGTGCATTTCGCGCTGCATGTGCAGTGTCACATATGACAACATCGGAACCAACGGCCCTGTCCCAGCTGCGACCATCCGAGTCTGACAGCCGTCCTGCCACTCCGCGCGTTTGTCGGACACAGAGTGTAACGCGCACGTCTTGAGGCTTGTTTTAGCGCCGTGCGGATCCGGGCATGTCTGATTCTCGATATCCCTCCTCATGCGCGGGACATACCTGATACGAGCCCCTGCTAGACATGGGGAGAAATTGCGTTAGAATACACAAATCACTATGTAAGTATGACAAGAAGTCTGGTTTGCGCTTGCATTGCTTGTGACCGAAGCCGTGCGTACCTTCAGCAGCGAGGAGCAGAGCGAGCAGGATGAGGGGGAGGAGGAGCGCGCGGGATGCCATGAAAGAAGGAAATCTAATCAACAATGCCGAAAGGGTCGATACTTCTGCTAGCTGAGGGTGGAGAATAAGAAGAGACGCAAGAGTTTGTGAAGGATTGGCTGCAGTGTGAAATATCGAGAATCAGGTATTGCTCTTCTAAATAAGAACCGCTCGCTTGTCGCGCTTCGATGTGCCATTTCTGAGAAGGACAGCAAGCCGCGTCACAAGCATATGCGATAGGTGCTGTACTATCCTTGGTTCGACGAGAAAATCCCGGCTTGCACGTGTGGCATGACAGCATTTCGCGCCGCTGGCGCAAGCGATTATCGGTATTGCGCTGTGACGAAAAAACTCGTGTTCGAACGGACATGATTGGAGGAGCATATGTGTTTTGCTGTGAATTGTGTTGAACTAGAGGAAATCACTGTGAGCATGATGACAGGAAGGAAGAGCTTAGCGAGGAGGTGTTCCTTTAGCGAAGCACGGGTTACTGTCTCCGAACCAGAATTTGGCTACAGAATCCCAGTTTTGAGGAACGACCAGATTTGAAGGTTTGGTGGGGAAATTTCTCACGGAGCAAGACGTTACCAAACGGTGGTTGTCGGAGAAGGCGGCGGCACTTCCGCAGGGAGTGGCGACCTTTTTCGCCCACAAGTCTGCTGGTAGACATTGGGGAAAAGGTAGCAAGAGGTGGAAGGCGATAGCAGAAGTTTTCTGGGAGTCCCCGTTTGCAGACCTTCCGGCGCCATCGAATGGGTGGGAAGCCGAGCGCGAGATGCTATGCTTCAACCGGAAAATTATGTTCAAGGGGGGGAGCCCGTTCGGGAACCGCCAAGGGGCAGCAGGTATCCGGACAACCAGACTGGGGGACCTGCTCATCACTAGGGGAGATGGTAGCAGGGAAGTTAAAAGCGTCAAGGAGCTAACAACAGATTTCGGAAGCGTGGCATCGGGGAGATGGGCGAGAAAAGCGTATGAGGCGATCCCTGACGAGTGGAAGGCGATGTTGACGGTGCAGAGGTCAGCGGGAGCAGTGGTGGCAGCAGCAAAGGTGGTGCGAACATTTCTGGCACAGGCGCAGAAGTTTCTTTACTAGACGGTAAAGGGGGTCAAGGATGAGGAGGTGGTTACCGACCATCTGGAGTGTCCGGACGGCGCAAGTCTGGTGGTGCCGCAAAGACCTTACGCGGTTTCGTTCCCTGTTAAGAGTATAACCCCGGTGACAGTAAAAGGGGGGAGAGTGCTTGGCGCGATGGGCGAGCCGAGAGCGAAGCTGTGCCTGACATCGCTGGTAGGAGACGATATGAGGCCGGCTGCACCGAAAGCGATTAGGAGGGCGCTGGCAGGGCCCGTGGTGACGTCCAGACGGAGACGCGAATGGGAAGAGGAGTGGGGGAACAAAATAGCCTGGAAGGCGGTCAGAGAAAGAAGGGACTCGCTGGTGATCCCGTACAGAGCAAGAGATGTGCTGCTGAGGATGCACAGCAAGAACCTGCAGGTGGGGGGGAGGCTGGTTTTTCTTGGAGCCAGGGGGTGCTGCCCACACTGTGGAGAGCCAGAAACCCTAGCTCACTGCATGCTCACCTGCCCAGTCATCCAACCGGTGATCGGCGCGCTGCTGAGGTCATTGGGGATCATAAACCCAGCAGACCAAACGAGGACACTGGGAGACATGCTGTTTCAGGAGGGGGCCACGAAATCCGGGTTTCCAGGGGCGACGTTGACAGCAGTGACAATGCGCAGGATTTGGTTGGCCAGAGTGGATGCGGTGTACCGGAAGGAGAAATTTCAGAGGAAAAAGGTGGCACGGGCGGCAATCTATGACTTCATGCGGCATGCGAGGCTCTACAGAGCGGAAAAGTTGAGGAAGGCAGGTGGGGGGGGGGAGAAAAGGGCAACCACGGGACCCATGGGGGGGGCTGGAAGGAGATGAACGTGCGGCGATCGCGAGGATCTGTGAGGCAGGGGAGCAGGCCACGTGGAGGATGGGCTTCCTATCCATATGGCAGAACCCCAAGACGTTTCATCGGCCACCGTAGGCGGATGCAGGGGGGGCTGCGCCGGAGTCTTTGACTGCAGTTTGCATGCTTCCCTCTGGAATTCAGTTACGACTGTGAATGTATTTGCATTGGTATAGTGCAAACTCGTTCTTAAAAAAAAAAAAAAAAAGATTTGAAGGGTTTCAATGCGGTTTCTTTTTATCCCATATTGCTGGTTTGTGTGAAGTACAAGTGTGCTTATACCAAGCTGTTCTGAGGTCAGGAGCAGATGAGAAACAGGGTGTAATCCTTTGGAGGATGTCGAGTCTTTGAAACGGTACACTACAGGACAGCCCGATATCACTTATAGCGCATCATACCCCAAGTTTCCCCCATTTCTTAGCACATGAGGCCTTTTTCACTGTAGACATCTGAGGGAACCCACCATCACTCTCCAGGTACATCTAAATAGACTGGACCATCACCATTTGTTGCACATGATTCAAGTCCCATGTTGGTTGGAGCAGCAGGATAAAAATATAAGGGATGCGCTGAGCTCTGTTACTCATCAGTCCCGCCATTTACGACGCCAGCAATGGGCGTCTCTATCGCGACAGCAGCGGCGTCGTACATCTGTCTCTCGCTCAACCTCACGCTCTGCCACTTGTACAGAGCGTCGCCTTCGCCCGCCGATACCGTCGCAGGCTCCGTGCCTGTCGCACGGACAGTCGTCGTGTCGTCGTCTCCCGCAGAATGCGGCGAAAGGGTATCTATTCGCGCGACGAGCGCACTCGTTGCGACAATGCGCGACTTTCAGAGTGTCGCCGGCCAGTTGAGGTGGGTAGGTTTCGCACAGGTTATCCCCTATATTAGCTACTCCGTTAGGCTCGGTCTGGTATTCTTATCGCGTGTGTTCACGAATGTTGGTGGGGAGGCTCAATAGGGCAATGCGTTGAAGAATATTCGAGTAGCTCAGAAACGGTTCAAGAAAGTCAACCAAGTCAAACCCGAAAGATCAAGCCAGCGAGGGTATCAAACCGCAAATGTCACGTCGCGCGTGGACCGATACATCGTATCTGGACTCAATCGCTTCGCACCAGTGGAGTTGGTTCGCCCAATGTGGGCATGCCATGTCGTAGGTCAACCAGGACATGTCGTATCTTGCCGTCTTCACATCGTTCTGCCGTTCCATCGTGGAATAACGAATAGAGGAGAAGGAGACAGACTCTTGTTATTACCCAAACCACACTTGTAATGTAGGTTGTAACCCAATTCTGCCGACCCATCTCACCAATTCTGCCTGCCGACCCATCTCACCAATTCTGCCTGCCGACCCATCTCACATCATCATGACTTTCCCAATCTTGTCCCGCGACCCCTTTTCGCCGTCCCCCTCCCCCCCCCTCTCTCCCTCCCCTCTTTCCCTCCCCTCTTTCCCTCCCCTCTCCGCTTCCCGTATTCCCTTTCCGCCAGTTGGCTGCCTGTGATTGACCGAGATCCGTCGTTTCTGTCGGAGCAGTGGAGTGAGCAGCTGCTGCAGGGCAGCCCGTGGCGTGCCACGTGTCCCTCACCCTTCCTCAAATCGGGTGAGAGGGGAGGGAATTAAGGAAGGGTAGGGGACAGAACGGGATTGACGGGAGGGGATGGGAGGGGATGGGAGGGGACGGGAGGGGACGGGAGGGGACGGGATGGGACGGGACGGGAGAGAAAGGAGTCTGTTTTGCGGCAAACCGAGTGGGAGAGTGGGAGAGGGAAGAGAGAGACAAAGAGGGAGGGTCCGAGCAGAGAGCAATGCAGAGCCTCGCTCTCTGCAATCACACACCCATACACCCCACAGCCTTCTTTCTCCCCTCTTGCACAAGCACTCTGCCTTCTTCCCCTCTACACGAGAAATGTTTGTCTCCTCCTCATCGTACAAGAAACAGACCCGTTTTTTCCTCTTGATCTCTCATCTCTCCCTTCATCGTCTCTCCTTGAACACAGTAAGTCTGTCTCCAATGCATCCCTTCCATCCCACTCTCTTTCCCTCTCCTTCCATCATCTAACCCTCCCCCAGACGTCTCCCTCCTTGCACTACCACCTGCCACGTCCTTCCTCCGCGCATCCGCTGCTGGCTCAACCTCACCTCTCCGAAGCCGCCCCACCTCTGGCGGTGAAGCCTATAACGAGGATGGCGAGGGTGATAATAGCGAGGGCTTCCCCTCCCCGGCTGCCCTCGCTGCCGCCGCTGCTGCTGCTGGCAACGAAGCTGCCCTGTGTGTTGAGTTTAGCCGGGAACGAAGCAGGCGTGCTGATAGAGCCGCCCGAAGGGCTAGCAGACAAACGATGCCATCCAGTGGGGAGGAAGTGGGCACCAAAGCCAGGGGTGGTGGGAGGGAGGGAAGGGGGGAGGAGGGTAGGAGAGGGGCTGTGGAGGAAGAGAGGAGTGTGGGTGAGGAGAGTGGGCGATCAAGGAGGGGGAGGAGAAGCCAGAGGAGGGAAGAACAGGAGAGGGAGAGGGAGAGGAGGAAGCAGGAAGAGGAGGCGTCTGCAGGGCAGCAGGGGAGGCAGGGACGGCGTGGGCGGCAGGGGCGGGAGGAGAGGAGTGAGGAGAGAAGGAAGGCAAGGGGTGAGGAGGAGAGGAGTGAGAGATGGAAGGGAGGTCAGGGGACTGGTGTGAGGGAGGAGGGTAGACGAGGTGGTGGGAGGGGAGGAGGAGGGAAGAAGGATCCAACGTTTGATGTAGCATCTGCGCTGGAAACGGCTATTAGGCTGGTATGATGAGATGGGGATGAATTGGTATGATGAGATGGGGGTGGACTGATGTGATGCGATGGGGTTGAACTGATGCTTCCATGGGATGGGAGTGTGTGTATACTCTGCCTCCTCCTCCCGCTTACTGGTGTCCCATTTTTTATCCCTCACACCTTTTTTTTTTTTTTCAATCTCCTCCTCTGCATTGCACGTCTTCTTATACGTTATTGTAACTCCATAAACTGTCACGTACTCCCTGAGCGACCACAGCAGCTGCTTCCCCCATCATTTAGTACTCGACTTGATATCCACCCGCCTCTGTGCCGTGCCTCGTTCCCCCATGGCAGGTGCAAATGGGCGACCATAAGAACGCCTTCCCCATCTTTGCCAAGGTACCCCGTTCTGTGCTGTCTGGTGCTGTGCGGTGCCGTGCGGTGCGGTGCGGTGCGGTGCTGTGTTGTGCTGTGCGGTGCGGTGCCGTGCCGTGCGGTGCTCTGCTGTGTCGTGTTTTGCTGTGCTTTCCTTTGCCGCGTCATGTCATTCTTTGTATACTCCATTTTTCAGAACCATGCCACACACACGTCATGCCGGGTTCCTCTTGCGACCCATTCTACCTCGTCATGGGCATGGTATGAGGTAGAATGGGTCATCCCATGCCCATCCCATGTCATCCCATGCCCATCCCATGTCATCCCACATGCATCCACTACATGCATTCACCTCCACCCATCCCCCACTCCCATCCTCCTCTCTTCTACTCACTCCTTTCCCCTTCCCTGCCCCAATCACGCTCCCCTCATCACGCTCCCCTCTTCCCCTCTCCTCTCATCAACACGCACACACACCTCACGCCCCTCCCTCTCGCCTGCCGCTGCAGGAGAGTGGAACACAGGAGACAATGGTGCTGCCCCCTCTCGCAATCCTCACCTCCCCCCTCCATCACGCCTTCCTCTGCCATCACTGTCCCCTTCACCCCCCTCCTTCTCACACTGCAGTTGCAGGAGAGTGGAGCGCAAGAGACGGTGGTGCTGCTGGCGTGGCGTGGCATGGCGCATGCTTTTGCAGAGCATTATGAGGAAGCACTCAGTGATTTCAACAAGGTATGTGGTGGGGGGAAGAGTGTCAGTGCTGAGTGCTAATAGGCTTCTAGGCTGCTACTGCTAAGTGGATATGTGCAGTGCAATGAAGCACGCAGCGACCAAGATGTATTTGTGTGTGGGGGGCTGCCAGCCAGCCACTTCCCGAATGCTCTACAGCAGCACTCCCCACCGCAATTTAGGGGCAGATTCGCAGGCAATGAGCGTTGGTGTTTGAGAGTACGGGCTGGTCGTAGTTGACTCAAACAACTTCTTTCGACCCCTTTACTTCTGCTCCGCCCCCCTCCCCACCTCCCATAGGCTCTAGAGCAGGCTCCCAAGGCAGGGCAGATTCTGAGGCAACGAGCGTCGGTGCTTGGGATTTTGGGGCGACACAAGGAGGTATGCCAGTTGGGATTTTGGGGCGACACAAGGAGGTATGCCAGTTGTGGTGGGCCGACACAAGGAGGTATGCCAGTTGTGGTGGGCCGACACAAGGAGGTATGCCAGTTGTGGTGGGCCGACACAAGGAGGTATGCCAGTTGTGGTGGGCCGACACAAGGAGGTATGCCAGTTGTGGTGGGCCGACACAAGGAGGTATGTGTGTGGTGGGGCGACACAAGGAGGTATGTGTGTGGTGGGGCGACACAAGGAGGTATGTGTGTGGTGGGGCGACACAAGGAGGTATGTGTGTGGTGGGGCGACACAAGGAGGTATGTGTGTGGTGGGGCGACACAAGGAGGTATGTGTGTGGTGGGGCGACACAAGGAGGTATGTGTGTGGTGGGGCGACACAAGGAGGTATGTGTGTGGTGGGCCGACACAAGGAGGTATGTGTGTGGTGGGGCGACACAAGGAGGTATGTGTGTGGTGGGGCGACACAAGGAGGTATGTGTGTGGTGGGGCGACACAAGGAGGTATGTGTGTGGTGGGGCGACACAAGGAGGTATGTTTGTGGTGGGGCGACACAAGGAGGTATGTGTGTGGTGGGGCGACACAAGGAGGTATGTGTGTGGTGGGGCGACACAAGGAGGTATGTGTGTGGTGGGGCGACACAAGGAGGTATGTGTGTGGTGGGGCGACACAAGGAGGTATGTGTGTGGTGGGGCGACACAAGGAGGTATGTGTGTGGTGGGGCGACACAAGGAGGTATGTGTGTGGTGGGGCGACACAAGGAGGTATGTGTGTGGTGGGCCGACACAAGGAGGTATGTGTGTGGTGGGGCGACACAAGGAGGTATGTGTGTGGTGGGGCGACACAAGGAGGTATGTGTGTGGTGGGGCGACACAAGGAGGTATGTGTGTGGTGGGGCGACACAAGGAGGTATGTGTGTGGTGGGCCGACACAAGGAGGTATGTCTGTGGTGGGGCGACACAAGGAGGTATGTGTGTGGTGGGGCGACACAAGGAGGTATGTGTGTGGTGGGGCGACACAAGGAGGTATGTGTGTGGTGGGGCGACACAAGGAGGTATGTGTGTGGTGGGCTGACACAAGGAGGTATGTGTGTGGTGGGGCGACACAAGGAGGTATGTGTGTGGTGGGGCGACACAAGGAGGTATGTGTGCGGTGGGGCGACACAAGGAGGTATGTGTGTGGTGGGCTGACACAAGGAGGTATGTGTGTTGTGGGGCGACACAAGGAGGTATGTGTGTGGTGGGGCGACACAAGGAGGTATGTGTGCGGTGGGGCGACACAAGGAGGTATGTGTGTGGTGGGGCGACACAAGGAGGTATGTGTGTGGTGGGGCGATACAAGGAGGTATGTGTGTGGTGGGGCGACACAAGGAGGTATGTGTGTGGTGGGGCGACACAAGGAGGTATGCCAGTTGTGGTGGGGCGACACAAGGAGGTATGTGTGTGGTGGGCCGACACAAGGAGGTATGTGTGTGGTGGGGCGACACAAGGAGGTATGTGTGTGGTGGGGCGACACAAGGAGGTATGTGTGTGGTGGGCCGACACAAGGAGGTATGTGTGTGGTGGGCCGACACAAGGAGGTATGTGTGTGGTGGGGCGACACAAGGAGGTATGTGTGTGGTGGGGCGACACAAGGAGGTATGTGTGTGGTGGGGCGACACAAGGAGGTATGTGTGTGGTGGGGCGACACAAGGAGGTATGTGTGTGGTGGGGCGACACAAGGAGGTATGTGTGTGGTGGGGCGACACAAGGAGGTATGCCAGTTGTGGTGGGGCGACACAAGGAGGTATGTGTGTGGTGGGGCGACACAAGGAGGTATGTGTGTGGTGGGCCGACACAAGGAGGTATGTGTGTGGTGGGGCGACACAAGGAGGTATGTGTGTGGTGGGGCGACACAAGGAGGTATGTGTGTGGTGGGGCGACACAAGGAGGTATGTGTGTGGTGGGGCGACACAAGGAGGTATGTGTGTGGTGGGGCGACACAAGGAGGTATGTGTGTGGTGGGGCGACACAAGGAGGTATGTGTGTGGTGGGCCGACACAAGGAGGTATGTGTGTGGTGGGCCGACACAAGGAGGTATGTGTGTGGTGGGGCGACACAAGGAGGTATGTGTGTGGTGGGGCGACACAAGGAGGTATGTGTGTGGTGGGGGCGACACAAGGAGGTATGTGTGTGGTGGGGCGACACAAGGAGGTATGTGTGTGGTGGGCCGACACAAGGAGGTATGTGTGTGGTGGGGCGACACAAGGAGGTATGTGTGTGGTGGGGCGACACAAGGAGGTATGTGTGTGGTGGGGCGACACAAGGAGGTATGTGTGTGGTGGGCCGACACAAGGAGGTATGTGTGTGGTGGGCCGACACAAGGAGGTATGTGTGTGGTGGGGCGACACAAGGAGGTATGTGTGTGGTGGGGCGACACAAGGAGGTATGTGTGTGGTGGGGCGACACAAGGAGGTATGTGTGTGGTGGGCCGACACAAGGAGGTATGTGTGTGGTGGGGCGACACAAGGAGGTATGTGTGTGGTGGGGCGACACAAGGAGGTATGTGTGTGGTGGGGCGACACAAGGAGGTATGTGTGTGGTGGGGCGACACAAGGAGGTATGTGTGTGGTGGGCCGACACAAGGAGGTATGTGTGTGGTGGGGCGACACAAGGAGGTATGTGTGTGGTGGGGCGACACAAGGAGGTATGTGTGTGGTGGGGCGACACAAGGAGGTATGTGTGTGGTGGGGCCGACACAAGGAGGTATGTGTGTGGTGGGGCGACACAAGGAGGTATGTGTGTGGTGGGGCGACACAAGGAGGTATGTGTGTGGTGGGGCGACACAAGGAGGTATGTGTGTGGTGGGGCGACACAAGGAGGTATGTGTGTGGTGGGGCCGACACAAGGAGGTATGTGTGTGGTGGGGCGACACAAGGAGGTATGTGTGTGGTGGGGCGACACAAGGAGGTATGTGTGTGGTGGGGCGACACAAGGAGGTATGTGTGTGGTGGGGCGACACAAGGAGGTATGTGTGTGGTGGGGCGACACAAGGAGGTATGTGTGTGGTGGGGCGACACAAGGAGGTATGTGTGTGGTGGGCCGACACAAGGAGGTATGTGTGTGGTGGGCCGACACAAGGAGGTATGTGTGTGGTGGGGCGACACAAGGAGGTATGTGTGTGGTGGGGCGACACAAGGAGGTATGTGTGTGGTGGGGCGACACAAGGAGGTATGTGTGTGGTGGGGCGACACAAGGAGGTATGTGTGTGGTGGGCCGACACAAGGAGGTATGTGTGTGGTGGGGCGACACAAGGAGGTATGTGTGTGGTGGGGCGACACAAGGAGGTATGTGTGTGGTGGGGCGACACAAGGAGGTATGTGTGTGGTGGGGCGACACAAGGAGGTATGTGTGTGGTGGGGCGACACAAGGAGGTATGTGTGTGGTGGGGCGACACAAGGAGGTATGTGTGTGGTGGGGCGACACAAGGAGGTATGTGTGTGGTGGGGCGACACAAGGAGGTATGTGTGTGGTGGGGCGACACAAGGAGGTATGTGTGTGGTGGGGCGACACAAGGAGGTATGTGTGTGGTGGGGCGACACAAGGAGGTATGTGTGTGGTGGGGCGACACAAGGAGGTATGTGTGTGGTGGGCCGACACAAGGAGGTATGTGTGTGGTGGGGCGACACAAGGAGGTATGTGTGTGGTGGGGCGACACAAGGAGGTATGTGTGTGGTGGGGCGACACAAGGAGGTATGTGTGCGGTGGGGCGACACAAGGAGGTATGTGTGTGGTGGGCTGACACAAGGAGGTATGTGTGTGGTGGGGCGACACAAGGAGGTATGTGTGTGGTGGGGCGACACAAGGAGGTATGTGTGCGGTGGGGCGACACAAGGAGGTATGTGTGTGGTGGGCTGACACAAGGAGGTATGTGTGTTGTGGGGCGACACAAGGAGGTATGTGTGTGGTGGGGCGACACAAGGAGGTATGTGTGCGGTGGGGCGACACAAGGAGGTATGTGTGTGGTGGGGCGACACAAGGAGGTATGTGTGTGGTGGGGCGACACAAGGAGGTATGTGTGTGGTGGGGCGACACAAGGAGGTATGTGTGTGGTGGGGCGACACAAGGAGGTATGTGTGTGGTGGGGCGACACAAGGAGGTATGTGTGTGGTGGGGCGACACAAGGAGGTATGTGTGTGGTGGGCCGACACAAGGAGGTATGTGTGTGGTGGGGCGACACAAGGAGGTATGTGTGTGGTGGGGCGACACAAGGAGGTATGTGTGTGGTGGGGCGACACAAGGAGGTATGTGTGTGGTGGGGCGACACAAGGAGGTATGTGTGTGGTGGGCCGACACAAGGAGGTATGTGTGTGGTGGGGCGACACAAGGAGGTATGTGTGTGGTGGGGCGACACAAGGAGGTATGTGTGTGGTGGGGCGACACAAGGAGGTATGTGTGTGGTGGGGCGACACAAGGAGGTATGTGTGTGGTGGGGCGACACAAGGAGGTATGTGTGTGGTGGGGCGACACAAGGAGGTATGTGTGTGGTGGGGCCGACACAAGGAGGTATGTGTGTGGTGGGCCGACACAAGGAGGTATGTGTGTGGTGGGGCGACACAAGGAGGTATGTGTGTGGTGGGGCGACACAAGGAGGTATGTGTGTGGTGGGGCGACACAAGGAGGTATGTGTGTGGTGGGGCGACACAAGGAGGTATGTGTGTGGTGGGGCGACACAAGGAGGTATGTGTGTGGTGGGGCGACACAAGGAGGTATGTGTGTGGTGGGGCGACACAAGGAGGTATGTGTGTGGTGGGGCGACACAAGGAGGTATGTGTGTGGTGGGGCGACACAAGGAGGTATGTGTGTGGTGGGGCGACACAAGGAGGTATGTGTGTGGTGGGGCGACACAAGGAGGTATGTGTGTGGTGGGGCGACACAAGGAGGTATGTGTGTGGTGGGGCGACACAAGGAGGTATGTGTGTGGTGGGGCGACACAAGGAGGTATGTGTGTGGTGGGGCGACACAAGGAGGTATGTGTGTGGTGGGGCGACACAAGGAGGTATGTGTGTGGTGGGGCGACACAAGGAGGTATGTGTGTGGTGGGCCGACACAAGGAGGTATGTGTGTGGTGGGGCGACACAAGGAGGTATGTGTGTGGTGGGGCGACACAAGGAGGTATGTGTGTGGTGGGGCGACACAAGGAGGTATGTGTGCGGTGGGGCGACACAAGGAGGTATGTGTGTGGTGGGCTGACACAAGGAGGTATGTGTGTGGTGGGGCGACACAAGGAGGTATGTGTGTGGTGGGGCGACACAAGGAGGTATGTGTGCGGTGGGGCGACACAAGGAGGTATGTGTGTGGTGGGCTGACACAAGGAGGTATGTGTGTTGTGGGGCGACACAAGGAGGTATGTGTGTGGTGGGGCGACACAAGGAGGTATGTGTGCGGTGGGGCGACACAAGGAGGTATGTGTGTGGTGGGGCGACACAAGGAGGTATGTGTGTGGTGGGGCGATACAAGGAGGTATGTGTGTGGTGGGGCGACACAAGGAGGTATGTGTGTGGTGGGGCGACACAAGGAGGTATGCCAGTTGTGGTGGGGCGACACAAGGAGGTATGTGTGTGGTGGGCCGACACAAGGAGGTATGTGTGTGGTGGGCCGACACAAGGAGGTATGTGTGTGGTTGGCCGACACAAGGAGGTATGTGTGTGGTGGGCCGACACAAGGAGGTATGTGTGTGGTGGGCCGACACAAGGAGGTATGTGTGTGGTGGGGCGACACAAGGAGGTATGTGTGTGGTGGGGCGACACAAGGAGGTATGTGTGTGGTGGGGCGACACAAGGAGGTATGCCAGTTGTGGTGGGGCGACACAAGGAGGTATGTGTGTGGTGGGGCGACACAAGGAGGTATGTGTGTGGTGGGCCGACACAAGGAGGTATGTGTGTGGTGGGGCGACACAAGGAGGTATGTGTGTGGTGGGGCGACACAAGGAGGTATGTGTGTGGTGGGGCGACACAAGGAGGTATGCCAGTTGTGGTGGGGCGACACAAGGAGGTATGTGTGTGGTGGGGCGACACAAGGAGGTATGTGTGTGGTGGGGCGACACAAGGAGGTATGTGTGTGGTGGGGCGACACAAGGAGGTATGTGTGTGGTGGGGCGACACAAGGAGGTATGTGTGTGGTGGGGCGACACAAGGAGGTATGTGTGTGGTGGGGCGACACTAGGAGGTATGTGTGTGGTGGGGCGACACAAGGAGGTATGTGTGTGGTGGGGCGACACAAGGAGGTATGTGTGTGGTGGGGCGACACAAGGAGGTATGTGTGTGGTGGGGCGACACAAGGAGGTATGCCAGTTGTGGTGGGGCGACACAAGGAGGTATGTGTGTGGTGGGCCGACACAAGGAGGTATGTGTGTGGTGGGCCGACACAAGGAGGTATGTGTGTGGTGGTCCGACACAAGGAGGTATGTGTGTGGTGGGCCGACACAAGGAGGTATGTGTGTGGTGGGCCGACACAAGGAGGTATGTGTGTGGTGGGGCGACACAAGGAGGTATGTGTGTGGTGGGCCGACACAAGGAGGTATGTGTGTGGTGGGCCGACACAAGGAGGTATGTGTGTGGTGGGCCGACACAAGGAGGTATATGTGTGGTGGGGGGACACAAGGAGGTATGTGTGTGGTGGGGCGACACAAGGAGGTATGTGTGTGGTGGGGCGACACAAGGAGGTATGTGTGTGGTGGGGCGACACAAGGAGGTATGTGTGTGGTCGGGCGACACAAGGAGGTATGTGTGTGGTGGGCCGACACAAGGAGGTATGTGTGTGGTGGGGCGACACAAGGAGGTATGTTTGTGGTGGGCCGACACAAGGAGGTATGTGTGTGGTGGGGCGACACAAGGAGGTATGCGTGTGGTGGGCCGACACAAGGAGGTATGTGTGTGGTGGGGCGACACAAGGAGGTATGTGTGTGGTGGGCCGACACAAGGAGGTATGTGTGTGGTGGGCCGACACAAGGAGGTATGTGTGTGGTGGGGCGACACAAGGAGGTATGTGTGTGGTGGGCCGACACAAGGAGGTATGTGTGTGGTGGGGCGACACAAGGAGGTATGTGTGTGGTGGGCCGACACAAGGAGGTATGTGTGTGGTGGGCCGACACAAGGAGGTATGTGTGTGGTGGGCCGACACAAGGAGGTATGTGTGTGGTGGGGCGACACAAGGAGGTATGTGTGTGGTGGGCCGACACAAGGAGGTATGTGTGTGGTGGGCCGACACAAGGAGGTATGTGTGTGGTGGGCCGACACAAGGAGGTATGTGTGTGGTGGGCCGACACAAGGAGGTATGTGTGTGGTGGGCCGACACAAGGAGGTATGTGTGTGGTGGGCCGACACAAGGAGGTATGTGTGTGGTGGGGCGACACAAGGAGGTATGTGTGTGGTGGGCCGACACAAGGAGGTATGTGTGTGGTGGGCCGACACAAGGAGGTATGTGTGTGGTGGGGCGACACAAGGAGGTATGTGTGTGGTGGGCCGACACAAGGAGGTATGTGTGTGGTGGGCCGACACAAGGAGGTATGTGTGTGGTGGGCCGACACAAGGAGGTATGTGTGTGGTGGGCCGACACAAGGAGGTATGTGTGTGGTGGGGCGACACAAGGAGGTATGTGTGTGGTGGGCCGACACAAGGAGGTATGTGTGTGGTGGGCCGACACAAGGAGGTATGTGTGTGGTGGGCCGACACAAGGAGGTATGTGTGTGGTGGGCCGACACAAGGAGGTATGTGTGTGGTGGGGCGTGTATATGTGCTGAAGCCTGGTTCTCGTGCAGGTAACTTCCAACACACCAGAACCGGAGGGATTTGTAGGCCAGCTATATTGGAGTGACTTTTGAGAATTCTCAGAAGTCACAAGGAGGTATGTGTGTGGTGGGGCGTGTATATGTGCTGAAGCCTGGTTCTCGTGCGTTGTAATTGCCGTGTATGTGGCCGGGAGATACAATTTTTTTTCGTGTGTTCAATGCAAGGAACAAACAACTCTTCTACCTTGCATTAGAGGTATAAGTTATCAACTACAAGTTACAACCCCACCCACCCCACATTCTTTTCTCTCGTGGCCATATGCACACTCACCATTCTGCGCGCCATTGCTGATTGAGTTTTGACTATTCTTCAACCACCCAACCCCCAATCCTGCAGGCCATCGCTGATTGGACGGCTGTGATTGAAATGGATCCGAATGATGCAGCAGCCAGACAGGAACGAGGTGAGAACAGGGTAGGGAGAGAGAGGTGAGCATAGGGACGTGACACTAGAGAGTTTACCGATGCCAAGGCGACAATAGACATTAAAGCGTCTCTCCAGGGGGTTGGCGATTGAATCGTGTATTTCAACCCAACCTGAAAGAATCTCATGCTTTCTTCTGTTTTCACCCTCTTTCCCTGCCCCCTCTTTCCCCGCCCCTCCTTCCCCCGCCCCTTCCTCCCTCGCCCTCTCCCTCTCCCCCCACGCAGGAGCGTCGTATGTGAACGAACGCCAACGCCCCTGCGAGTCTAGTTTTGAGGCGCCTCAAAACGAACGCCAACGCCTCTGCGAGTGCGCTGCCAGACCTTATGCGGCCAGGTTGGGTCGGCATAGCGTAGCATGAATGCCAAACTAACTCATACCTTGCTGACCTTCCTTCTGCTCTCACCCAGCCTCCTTCCCCCTTTCTCTGCAGGAGCCGCATACGTGAACGCCAAAGCCTATGAGAGAGGACTGCCAGACTCTATGCTACCGGGTTGAGTCAGCATACCGAGAATGCCGACCCAACCCATACCATGCTATGCTAGCCTAGTAACTTCCCTTCCATTCCCACCCCTTCCGCCGCTCCTCCTCTCGCAGGAGCGGCATATGTGAGCGCCAATGCCTATGCGAGTGCGCTGCCTGACCTCGATGCTGCCAGGTTGGGTCAACATACCAAGAAGAGAATGCGCCCCATAATAACCTCCTTTCTGCTCTTACCCCCCTTCTTCCCCTCCCCCACAAACCAGTAGCGGCATACGTGAATGCCAACGCCTATTCAAACGCGCTGCCGGATGTCTATGCTGCCTGCCAGGCAGGTTGGGTTGGCATACAAAGAATGCGCTCGATAATAACCTCCTTTCTGCTCTTATCCCCTTTCTTCCCCTCCCCCACAAACCAGTAGCGGCATGCGTGAATGCCAACGCCTATTCAAACGCGCTGCCGGATGTCTATGCTGCCTGCCAGGCAGGTTGGGTTGGCATACAAAGAATGCGCTCGATAATAACCTCCTTTCTGCTCTTATCCCCTTTCTTCCCCTCCCCCACAAACCAGTAGCGGCATGCGTGAATGCCAACGCCTATTCAAACGCGCTGCCGGATGTCTATGCTGCCTGCCAGGCAGGTTGGGTTGGCATACAAAGAATGCGCCCTATAATAACCTCCTTTCTGACCTCTTCCCCTCCCCCACCAACCAGGAGCGGCATACGTGAATGCCAATGCCTATGCGAGCGCACTGCCTGATCTCTATGCTGCCAGGTTGGGTCAACATACCAAGTATGCCCACCCAACCTATCCCATGTTAACCTCCTGTCTCCACCCTTGTCCCCCCCCACCAACCAGGAGCGGCATACGTGAACGCCAACGCCTATTCAAGCACGCTGCCGGGCCTCTACGCTGCCTGCCAGGCACGTTGGGTAGGCATACTAAGGATGCGCCCTATAATAACCGCCTTTCTGTTCTGACCTCTTCCCCTCCCCCACCAACCAGGAGCGGCATATGTGAACGCCAACGCCTATTCAAGCGCGCTGCCGGACCTCTATGCTGCCAGGGCCATGGCTCCGCAGCTCTTCAAGCCGCACCTCTTCCTCGTAAGTCCTATTGAGGCGCCTCAAAGTCGTCTCTCTACCCGCGGTTTTTTAGGCGCCTCAACAGGGTCGTGGTCCCCCCCCCCCCAGCTCTTCCAAACCCCGTCTTTTCCTCCTAAGCTTTATGGGGCAAGGGAGAAGCCTAAACCCAAACCTTCAAGCCCAAACCCCCGAAAAGCTGAGCCTTTGGCTCTGCAAACCCCATATGACAACAAGGGAGCCTGAGCCTGAACCCAAACCTGAAAACCCTGAACCATGAATAACTAAGCCCTCGGCTCTTCAAGCCGCACCTCTTCCTCAAAATTTTATCCTTTGAATTGCCAAGTCCCTCATCTCCTCCTGTATGCTCAACTCATTGTCAAAGACAAGCCTTCAAACTGCTCTCGTGTCCCTTCCCCTTGCCTCCAGAATCTGGCACTGACAGCAACAGGGGCGCAGTTTGAAGCAGTGACGAGCTACGAGACAGCCATGGCAATAAATCCAGAATGAAAGGGGTGCAGCAGGCCCCTATAACAAATTACCCATGTCTCATCTCTCCGCTCTCAACTCCCCCGCATCCCTTCTCCTTCCCCTTGCCTCCAGGGTTTGGCGCTGACAGCAACAGGGGCACCGTTTGAAGCAGTGAAGAGCTATGAGACAGCAATGGCCATGAATCCAGATGTAAAGGAGGGGTGGACGAACTGGGGGCAGACAATGAAGGAGATCGCCATGTTCAACGAGTCAGAGAGATGCTATAAACGTGCCCTTGATGTGGATAAGGGGTGAGTGGTTGGAGCAGCGTATATGGGGGATAGATGAGTTGGGGGGTGCTGCATGGGAATGATGAGGGGTGGACGAACTGGGGGCAGACAATGAAGGAAATCGCCATGTTCAACGAGTCGGAGCGATGCTATAAGCGCGCTCTGGGGGTGGATAGTGGGTGAGTGAGTGGACTGTGGAGCAGCTTATATGGGGGACAATCGGGATGGGCTAACTCGGGACATGTGCATATCCTACATTTGTGGCCCTTATAATACCCATATCTGATGCGCTGTAATATTTTAACCAAAATCGTTCCCCATCCCATTCCCCATATGCCCCCATGCCACACTCCCCGTGCCTGCCCATCACTACAGCTTCCTGCTGGCGTACAAGCTGTGGGCGAAGCTGAGGCACACCGTGGGCGACCACAGGTGAGCGAGGCGGCATGCAGACAGACAGACAGGTAGCTGCTATGGGCACTGGCAAGTGCCTGGCACGTGCGTGGCATGTGCATGGATTGGGTTGAGAGGAGAACCATACACTTGCTGCTGGCGTACAAGCTCTGCAACCACTGGTGAGTTTCGGGTTTTGCGACGCCTCAACCTCTGAGGCACGCCGTGGGCGACCACAGGTGAGCGAGGCGGCACGCAGACAGACAGACAGGTAGCGATGGCCAGGCCACTGCTATGAGACGTCTCAAAGGCGTTTCGGGTTTTGCGACGCCTCAACCTCTGAGGCACGCCGTGGGCGACCACAGGTGAGGAAGGCGGCACGCAGACAGACAGACAGGTAGCGATGGCCAGGCCACTGCTATGAGACGTCTCAAAGGCGTTTCGGGTTTTGCGACGCCTCAACCTCTGAGGCACGCCGTGGGCGACCACAGGTGAGGAAGGCGGCACGCAGACAGACAGACAGGTAGTGATGGCCAGGCCACTGCTATGAGACGTCTCAAAGGCGTTTCGGGTTTTGCGACGCCTCAACCTCTGAGGCACGCCGTGGGCGACCACAGGTGAGGAAGGCGGCACGCAGACAGACAGACAGGTAGCGATGGCCAGGCCACTGCTATGAGACGTCTCAAAGGCGTTTCGGGTTTTGCGACGCCTCAACCTCTGAGGCACGCCGTGGGCGACCACAGGTGAGCGAGGCGGCACGCAGACAGACAGACAGGTAGCGATGGCCAGGCCACTGCTATGAGACGTCTCAAAGGCGTTTCGGGTTTTGCGACGCCTCAACCTCTGAGGCACGCCGTGGGCGACCACAGGTGAGCGAGGCGGCACGCAGACAGACAGACAGGTAGCGATGGCCAGGCCACTGCTATGAGACGTCTCAAAGGCGTTTTGGGTTTTGCGACGCCTCAACCTCTGAGGCACGCCGTGGGCGACCACAGGTGAGCGAGGCGGCACGCAGACAGACAGACAGGTAGCGATGGCCAGGCCACTGCTATGAGACGTCTCAAAGGCGTTTCGGGTTTTGCGACGCCTCAACCTCTGAGGCACGCCGTGGGCGTCCATAGGTGAGTGAGGGACGACGGCAGGCAGACAGGTGGTGATGGGCACTGGCATGGCATGGCATGGCATGGCATGGCATGGCATGGCACGGCACGGCATGGCACGGAATGGCATGTGCATGAATCCTTGAGCAGAGGCTTAACTGTCCCATCCCATCCGTAATAAATCTGAATTGTGTCCCTCTTGCTGTCCCTAGGGTTCCGTAACTGCAATATTAAGTAGTTTCCCTTCCCCATTTCCTTGCTCCCACCGCGACAGCGGGGTGATTCAGCTGCTGCAGGAGGGGCTGAAACAATGACCTTCCTGAAAGTGTTTCCTCCTCTCTTCCTGTCCCCTTCAGAGGGGTGATTCAGCTGCTGCAGGAGGGGCTGAAACAATGACCTTCCTGAAAGTGTTTCCTCCTCTCTTCCTGTCCCCTTCAGAGGGGTGATTCAGCTGCTGCAGGAGGGGCTGAAACATCACCCAAGCAACGTGGAGCTACACTTGTATTGTGGCTACCACCACCCACCCACCACCATGCATCTTGTCTCTCTCTTCCTCTCCCACCATGGCAGGGGGGTGATCCGCCTGCTGCAGGAGGGGCTGAAACACCACCCAAACAACGTGGAGTTGCGATACTTTGAGGCCTCCTGCTTCCATGCCACGGGGGATTTTTCCCAGGCTGTGAGTTGACCTGCGTTGACTTTCGTTGACTGCAGTCGACGCCTCCAAGTCTCCTACTTTGATTTGAGGCCTCCTGCATCCATGCCACGCGGGTCTTCTCACAGGCCATGAGTTGACTCGCGTTGACTTTCGTTGACTATCATCCTCCCCCCTGCTCAGGTGAGGCTCTACGACAGCATTCTCTTTCTGCAACCGTCTTGAGATGAGAGGTTTCAGCACCTCGCCTTCCCTCCGAATCAAAACAACAATCCTCTCACCTCCCTCCCAATCGGCCAATCACCCCTCACCCAACCCCCCCCCCCCCCCCCCCCCCCCCCTTTCTTCCACCCTTTAGGTGAGGCTCTACGACAGCATTCTCTCGCTGCAAACGTCTGGAGATGAGCGGTTCCAGTACCTCGCTTTCTACCAGGTGCATTGAGAAGGTTCCTGGTTGCTTCCAGGTGGCTTCCACGCTGTCTACCAATATTGGAAATGTTGATGTTTGTTAACGTTTTCTTTCTTTATTTTTGCACAAGCTCGTGCCATTCTTCAAGTACTTGCATCGCACCAAAAGCTCCTTGTATCTCCATGCCCAAAGAGGCGTGGCCTCAAAGTCTCATCATAGCAGCATATATGGCAGTGAACGTGAATTCATCCTACTCTTACACCCGCTGTCCTCTCTTCCCCCCCATCCCACCCCTGTCATCCCCATTACTACAGCGTGAGATAGCGGCATACATGGCAGTCAACGTGAACGCGCCCTTCTCTCACTTCAGCCTTGATGACCATTTCAACCGCGTCTTCAAGGCAAGATCCGAGTCTTCCCACCTGCCGTATGTGCACGGCACACGATGTATGCATGCACCTCTCCCTCACTCGCGCATCCCTCACTTGCCCTTCTCTCACTTCAGCCTGGACGACCACTTCAATCGCGTCTTCAAGGCAAGATTTGTGTCTTCCCACCTGCCAATCATCATGTGCACAGCACACTATGCATGCACCTCTCACTCACTCGCGCCTCCCTCACTCTCCCGTCTTCAAGGCAAGCTTGCGTTTTCTTGTCAAGTGAAATTCATGTCTCTTGTTCTCCCGTTGCCAGGCAAGGCAATTTCTCCAGTGCCCATTCTTCAATTGCAGCCAATACATTGAAGTTCCCTCTTCCCTCCTTCCCCTCCGCCTCCACCTTGAAACAGGAAGGTTGGGCTAATGCACAGTTTTGGGTGCACCTACCCTTCAAGGAATACGAGATGCTTCCTGTGTCCTGTGTCCCTACAGGGAGTGTTTTTTGAGAATTCTCAAAAAATACGAGATGCTTCCTGTGTCCTGTGTCCCTACAGGACATTCAAGCCGGGTTTCTGTGCTCTCCATGCTTCCCTCACTACCCACTCACTGCACATATCCCATCTCCCACCCACCACAGGAGGGCTGGGCCAACGCACAGTTCCCAGGGCACCTACTGTCCAGGGGCTATCAGATGCAGGACATTCAGGCAGTGTTCCTGTGCTCCCCATGCTTCCTCACTACCCACCCACCCACTGCAACCATTGTTAGAAGAGAGAGAATTGATACATTGAATAATGAGCCAAGAGGCTCTTTAGTACAAACAATGAGCAAGAGAGAGATGAGAGGGAAGCTTACCCTATTGGCCAATAAGTTGGCCAATGGGTGAGCTTGCTTGTGACCCAAGCAACCACAAATGTGTGTTGGTTGGGATTGGTTGAGCTAAGGACCAATCCCAACCAACCACAAAATGTGGTTGGAGGGTACACTAAGCAACCCCCCAATTTATAAATGTGCTACACTTCTAGCCTATGTATGTTGTATGAAATATGAAATTACAACACAACCCCCCAACATGCATAAGGCTAGAAGGCTAGAATCAAGAGGCGGGAGGCGACTTAGGAGGAGTGAGGCCAAGAAGACGAAGTAGGAAAGAGTGAGCGGCATGAGGAAGAGCTTTTGTGAAGATGTCGGCAAGGTTGGCCGCCGAGTCAACCTTGTCGAGGCGAAGGTGCCCCGCCTGAACAAGATCGCGAATGAAGAAATGACGGAGCTCAATGTGCTTGGAGCGCCCGTGAAACACAGCATCTTTGGTGAGGTGAATGGTACTAGCATTGTCACACCAAATTGTGGGACAGCGCTGGGGGGCAACCAAGTTCCTCAAGAAGGAAGGTGAGCCAGCGGGCCTCTTGCGCAGCCATGGTGGCGGCATACAATTCCGCCTCGCAGGAGGAGAGGGCTGCAGCCGAGGAGCGGGTGGAGCGCCAGCTGATAAGGCCGCTGCCAAGAGAGAAGCCATAGCCCTGGGAGGAGCGACGATCTGGCCGGGAATCAGCCCAGGAGGAGTCACTGTAGCCGCTGAGAAGAGGTGGGGAGGGGCCGCCAAGGGTAAGGACATAGTCCTTGGTGCCACGAAGGTACCGGAGGACACGCTTGGCGGCCTGCCAGTGCTCTTCCGTATGCTTGCCTGCGCCAACAAAACGAGCGAGGACGCTGATGGGGTAGGCAAGGTCAGGGCGAGTGGAGACCATGGCGTACATGAGGGAGCCGATGAGCTCGGGATAAGGATGGGAGGAGGCTGAGGGGGAGGTGGGTGGAGAGAGGTGGTGCCCGACAGAAAGAGGTGTATGTTGGGCGCCGCCGCGGGCCATGTCAAACCGCTCCAAGACCTGCTGCAAGTAATGACCCTGGGAGAGTGAGATGGTGCGGGCGGAGCGGTCACGGGTGATGGTCATGCCCAGATAATGCTGCAGCTCTCCCAAGTCTTTGCACTTGAGACAGGTGCCCAACTCAGCCTTAACATGCTCCAACTCTCCAAGGTCGGCAGTGAGCAGAATCATGTCATCGACATACACAAGGATGTAAAATGGGGAGGGGGAGGTGCGGAGGAAGAGGCTGGCGTCAGAGCGGGAGGTGCGGAACCCAAGTTCAGCAAGGGTGGCGGCAAGTTTAGCATGCCACTCCCTCGGGGCCTGTCGGAGCCCATACACCGGTCGACGCAGCTGCCAGACAGAGTCTGCTGGGAAGGGGAGGTGAAAGCCGGCTGGACGCTCCATGTAGATAAGCTCGCGGAGGACGCCTTGTAGGAAGGCGTTAGAAACGTCCATCGAGTGGATCTCCATATTGAGGCGAGCGGCGAGGTCGAGCACGGCGCGAACAGTAGCAGGCTTGGCAGTAGGGGAGAAGGTATCGAAGAAGTCAAAACCATACCGCTGCGTGAACCCCTTGGCGCAGTAACGAGCCTTATAAACGGGCGGCTCCCCTGGCAGCTGCTTGACGCGAAACACCCACTTTCCTTTCACCATGTTCATAGGGGCGGGAGGGCGAGGCACATCGACAAAAGAGGAGTTGCCGATAAAGGCCTCCAGCTCCTTGATGATGGCGGCGAGCCATAGCGGAGCGTCAGGGCACGCCATTGCCTCCTCGTACGTGGTAGGAACGAAAATGGAGGGAGCAGAGGAGAAGGCGAAGACAGGTGTGCCAGAGAGGTCGAACGTGATGGGTAGAAGCGAGGGGTCATAAAGGTGGAGGTCAAGGAACTCTTCATGGGAGTCCTCAGAGAGGGAGGTGTGGAAGGCGCGGATGACTGCTGGTGCCGCTGCTGGTGCTGCTGGTGGAGGCGTTGCCGGTGCCGCTGCTGGTACTGCTGCTGGTGCCGCTGCTGGTGCCGCTGCTGGTGCCGCTGTTGGTGCCGTTGCTGGTGCCGCTGCTGGTACTGTTGCTGAAACTGTTGCTGGTGCCGCTGCTGGTCCCGCTGCTGCTGCCGATGCCGCTCCCGCTGCTGCTGCCGCTGCTGGTCCTGCTGCTGCTGCGGCTGCTGGCGTTGCTGCTGCTGCCGCTGCTGGTCCCGCTGCTGGTGCCGCTGCTGGAGAGGAGGTGGCTGAGGGGGCTGTTGCATGAGGGGCTTGATGCAAGACAGCCTGGAAGAAGTGACGGAGGAGGGGGGAGAGAGGGGGGAGGGTAGAGGTAGAGAGGGTAACGGGAGGCGGTGCACCAAGGATACCGTCACGTGACCTGGTGTGGGGATACCGGGTGAGTATGGTGCGGGAAGGGGGAGGACGGGTTGGTGGCGAGGGAGAGGAAGAGGGGGGGGGAGGGGTACTAGGAGAGGAGTGAGCGGGGGAGACAGGAGAAGACAGAGGTTCCGGGTCAAAGATGTCACCAGAAGAGGGAGGGGCACCATGGGACTGGGACGGCGGAGAAGGGGGGGGTGGGAGGATGGGGGGAGGAGGGAGTAGTGGGGGAGGGGTGGTGTCAGACCAGACAAGGGGACGGGTGAGAGGGGGGAGTGGGTCAGTAGATGTGGGAGAGGAGTAGTAGGGAGTGGACTCGTCAAAGACCACATCCCGGCTGCGGATTAGACGACCGGATGGTGGGTGGAGGAAAAGGTAGTCAGGGGAGGAGGGATTATGACCAAGGAAGATGCAGGGAAGGGTACGAGGGGCAAGCTTTCCCATGGAACGGGAGCGGTCAGAGGGGTGAATGAGGACATGTGCCTTAGAGCCCCAGACACGAAGTGATGAGGCATCAGGCTTGTCCTTCGTCCACAGCTCAGTGGGGGTGATGGAGGGGAGAAGGGGGTGAGGGTAAAGGTTAGTAAGGAGGGCGGCATGAAGGAGGGCGTAGCCCCAAAGAGAAGGGGGGCAGGAGGCGTGGACAAGCAGACACCGGGCCGTTTTGGTGATCTCTTGAACACGACTCTCAGCCACGCCGTTCTGCTGTGGGGAGTGAGGGAGGGTGTAAGTCTGAAGGATGCCACGAGACTGACAATAGGAGGAGACTTGGTTGTTAAGGAACTCACCACCTCCATCAGAGTGAAGGCGGCGAACAGGGCGCCCAAAATGGGTGTTTGCCCGCTCGAGCCAGGCGATGATCGCAGCCGGGGCATCCGCCTTCGTCCGAAGGAGAGAGACGGACGAGTACCGACTGTGATCATCAACAAGCACGAGAAGGTAGCGATGGCCCTGGCGAGTGGGAGAGGGATTAGGGCCCCATAGGTCCATGTGAACAAGATCAAGTGGCTGCGTAGCAGCGGAGGGGGAGCTCCGGTGCGGCTGCTGCTTGAGCTTGCTCTGAACGCAGACGGTGCAGGGGGGGGCAGGGGATTTGGGGAGGGGAGGGAGGGAGGAGGGGAGACCGTGGAGGAGACCGGAGGAGACAGAGGAGCGCAGAGTAGCGAAGTTGGGGTGGCCTAGCCTGTGATGGAGGAGGATGGTGGGGTGGGAGAGGGAGCGACAGGAACAGTCGGAGTCAGGAGGGCGGGGGGGGAGGGGTGGGTTAGTGGGAGGGAGGGGAGGGGGGGGGGGGGGGGGAAGGAGGGGGGGGGGAGGCAACTTGGAAGGTGAGGGGGCGGGGAACCCGAAGGGTGTACAGACGGGAGCGAGGACAATAGGGAATACGGGCGAGAAAACGACCTGTGGAGGTTTGGTATAGGTCACAATGGTTAGCACCACTCGCCGGGTAAGCCATGATCACCACTCTCATCCCAGGTGTTGGAAAGCTAGAATTGATACATTGAATAATGAGCCAAGAGGCTCTTTAGTACAAACAATGAGCAAGAGAGAGATGAGAGGGAAGCTTACCCTATTGGCCAATAAGTTGGCCAATGGGTGAGCTTGCTTGTGACCCAAGCAACCACAAATGTGTGTTGGTTGGGATTGGTTGAGCTAAGGACCAATCCCAACCAACCACAAAATGTGGTTGGAGGGTACACTAAGCAACCCCCCAAATTATAAATGTGCTACACTTCTAGTCTATGTATGTTGTATGAAATATGAAATTACAACACCCATCCCCTTCCCCACCCCGTCTCTTCAGGAGGGCTGGGCGAATGCACAGTTTCCAGGGCACCTACCCTCCAGAGGGTATCAGATGCAGGACATTCAGGCAGTGTTCCTGTGCTCCCCATGCTTCCTCACTACCCACCCACCCACTGCACCCATCCCCTTCCCCACCCCGTCTCTTCAGGAGGGCTGGGCGAATGCACAGTTTCCAGGGCACCTACCCTCCAGAGGGTATCAGATGCAGGACATTCAGGCAGTGTTCCTGTGCTCCCCATGCTTCCTCACTACCCACCCACCCACTGCACCCATCCCCTTCCCCACCCCGTCTCTTCAGGAGGGCTGGGCGAATGCACAGTTTCCAGGGCACCTACCCTCCAGAGGGTATCAGATGCAGGACATTCAGGCAGTGTTCCTGTGCTCCCCATGCTTCCTCACTACCCACCCACCCACTGCACCCATCCCCTTCCCCACCCCGTCTCTTCAGGAGGGCTGGGCGAATGCACAGTTTCCAGGGCACCTACCCTCCAGAGGGTATCAGATGCAGGACATTCAGGCAGTGTTCCTGTGCTCCCCATGCTTCCTCACTACCCACCCACCCACTGCACCCATCCCCTTCCCCACCCCGTCTCTTCAGGAGGGCTGGGCGAATGCACAGTTTCCAGGGCACCTACCCTCCAGAGGGTATCAGATGCAGGACATTCAGGCAGTGTTCCTGTGCTCCCCATGCTTCCTCACTACCCACCCACCCACTGCACCCATCCCCTTCCCCACCCCGTCTCTTCAGGAGGGCTGGGCGAATGCACAGTTTCCAGGGCACCTACCCTCCAGAGGGTATCAGATGCAGGACATTCAGGCAGTGTTCCTGTGCTCCCCATGCTTCCTCACTACCCACCCACCCACTGCACCCATCCCCTTCCCCACCCCGTCTCTTCAGGAGGGCTGGGCGAATGCACAGTTTCCAGGGCACCTACCCTCCAGAGGGTATCAGATGCAGGACATTCAGGCAGTGTTCCTGTGCTCCCCATGCTTCCTCACTACCCACCCACCCACTGCACCCATCCCCTTCCCCACCCCGTCTCTTCAGGAGGGCTGGGCGAATGCACAGTTTCCAGGGCACCTACCCTCCAGAGGGTATCAGATGCAGGACATTCAGGCAGTGTTCCTGTGCTCCCCATGCTTCCTCACTACCCACCCACCCACTGCACCCATCCCCTTCCCCACCCCGTCTCTTCAGGAGGGCTGGGCGAATGCACAGTTTCCAGGGCACCTACCCTCCAGAGGGTATCAGATGCAGGACATTCAGGCAGTGTTCCTGTGCTCCCCATGCTTCCTCACTACCCACCCACCCACTGCACCCATCCCCTTCCCCACCCCGTCTCTTCAGGAGGGCTGGGCGAATGCACAGTTTCCAGGGCACCTACCCTCCAGAGGGTATCAGATGCAGGACATTCAGGCAGTGTTCCTGTGCTCCCCATGCTTCCTCACTACCCACCCACCCACTGCACCCATCCCCTTCCCCACCCCGTCTCTTCAGGAGGGCTGGGCGAATGCACAGTTTCCAGGGCACCTACCCTCCAGAGGGTATCAGATGCAGGACATTCAGGCAGTGTTCCTGTGCTCCCCATGCTTCCTCACTACCCACCCACCCACTGCACCCATCCCCTTCCCCACCCCGTCTCTTCAGGAGGGCTGGGCGAATGCACAGTTTCCAGGGCACCTACCCTCCAGAGGGTATCAGATGCAGGACATTCAGGCAGTGTTCCTGTGCTCCCCATGCTTCCTCACTACCCACCCACCCACTGCACCCATCCCCTTCCCCACCCCGTCTCTTCAGGAGGGCTGGGCGAATGCACAGTTTCCAGGGCACCTACCCTCCAGAGGGTATCAGATGCAGGACATTCAGGCAGTGTTCCGCGTGCGGCGGCAGCAGCACCGGCGCAAGGGGGAGAAGCGCTTCGAGGCGAACCGAGCGGCGCTGCTAAAGCAGGCTGATGAGATTGGGCGGCTGGTTCAGTACAACACCACGGGGTTCCTTGGTAACATGCGGCAGGTAAGCAAGTGCTACTGCTGTCACGAGTCCTTAGAGAAAGTGCTGCTGCTGCTGCTGTTGCAGACTGATGCGATTGGGCGGCTGGTTCAATACAACACCACAGGGTTCCTTGGTAACATGCGTTAGGTGTGCGGGTGCTATTGCTACTGTAAGTCCTTAGAGAAAGGGTTGCTGCTGCTGCTGCTGCAGGCTGATGCGCTTGGCCGGCTCGTTCAGTGCAACACCACGGGGGGTTCCTTGGTAACATGCGGCAGGCGAGGCCTTGATAGCTGTTATCTGCTAACTTGAGCGCTTAGATCAGAGAAATAGGTGCCGCTGCTGTCGGAGATTCATCCTCTGTTGCTTCCCGTGGCTTGCCTTCTCCTTCCCGGACTCACCCTCGCTCCCTTCTTCTTCTGAGCTCTGTTCCTGTGATACCTTACCTGCTCTGCCTCAGCCACTACCTTGAGAGATTCTGCCTCCCCCACGTATGGCTGCCCACAGTGGCTTAGTCGCCTAAGCTGGAGTTAGCTATCAAACGGCAACCTATATCCACTATTACGAGCAAACAAACAAGAGAACGAACTAAGCAGTGAGTTCCTAGCCTATTTGAGTCTCTACCCCGTGCCGTGCAGTTTCCCGTAAGTCACATTGGGCTCCGCCCGCTAGGCTTCAGATTGGCCCTTCGGATTGCCCAGGGCTCGCCCTTGAATTTGTCCCACCCTGCGCCTCGCAAGTCCCTTGGTCACCACTTCGCGTCACTACCCACGCACCAAACTCACCTTCTACAGTACTTCGATTAACCCTACTACACCTACACTAGCAAGTAACAGAATATATTGCAAACAACAATCTATTCGGTGACAGCTGTCGGAGATTCATCCTCTGTTGCTTCCCGTGGCTTGCCTTCTCCTTCCCGGACTCACCCTCGCTCCCTTCTTCTGAGCTCTGTTCCTGTGATACCTTACCTGCTCTGCCTCAGCCACTACCTGCCCCCTCCAGAGCTCGTGCTCGGGTCTCCCGTGCACGTGTCACTGGACACTCTCGCTGAGGCCGGTGGCTTTTCACCACTGCAGCATTCGTCAGATGGTACCCTGTCTACTCTCTTCTCTGATTCCTCAGCACCAGCACTCTTGGACGCCTCAGGTCCTTCGTCTCCCTTCGCTGTGTGTCCAGTACCACTTTCCGAGTATCCCCCTCTGCAGGTAGGCTTCCTGTCTCGCTTCCGCTGGCGTAGCTGTCGTTTTTGTCGCCCTGCTGCAGTCTCTGCTTGTGCCTGTACGTGTGCATTTCGCAACTCTATTGTACGCATGACCTCCGCCGCTGCTGTTTTCTCCTCGTCCAGGTATTCTGCTGCCTTGGCTCCCTCCCATGCCACCCAGTTCTCAGCCCCTTTCATTCCCGCTGGTCCTGGCAGCACCTGTGTTGCTGGCTGCATCGCCTCAGCTTCCCATATTCCTCGCTTACTCCACCTTACTGTCTTCACGGCCTCTTTTCCTTCCGGACTCATCACATCTCCCGTTGTGTGCCCTACTTCTTCCCCTGCAGGCAGGCACTCCCATGTCCCCACCTCCTTGTTCTCCCTCTCTGCTTCCTCCCGCTCCTGAGCTTTGGCCCACACTGGACCTTCCCATCCTCCTACCCGTAGGTCTCCTTGCCCCCAGTCGCACGCCATCTCCACTTTCATGCTGCTCACACCTGTCTCAGCTCCTCTCACGGCTTCTTTCACCATTTTCGCCCCCAGCATCTGTGGAGGTTCTTTCCTCAGCTTCCGCACATGCTGCTTCGCCATCCTACTTCCCTGCACTTGCTTCTCTGGCTTTAGTACACACGGCCGTGCCCCCACCTTCTCGTCCTTCCCTTCCGCCTCTGCTACTGCTGGTACACACGCTCCCGCCCCCACCTGCACTTCCTTTTTCTCTACCTTCGCTGCTGCTGTTACACACGCTCCCGCCCCCACCTGCTCTTCCTTTTTCTCTACCTTTGCTGCTGCTGTTACACACGCTCCCGCCCCCACCTGCTCTTCCCTTTTCTCTACCTTCGCTGCTGCTGTTACACACGCTCCCGCCCCCACCTGCACTTCCTTTTTCTCTACCTTCGCTGCTGCTGTTACACACGCTCCCGCCCCCACCTGCACTTCCTTTTTCTCTGCCTTCGCTGCTGCTGTTACACACGCTCCCGCCCCCACCTGCACTTCCTTTTTCTCTACCTTCGCTGCTGCTGTTACATACGCTCCCGCCCCCACCTGCACTTCCTTTTTCTCTACCTTCGCTGATGCTGTTACATACGCTCCCGCCCCCACCTGCACTTCCTTTTTCTCTACCTTCGCTGCTGCTGTTACACACGCTCCCGCACCCACCTGCTCGTTCTTCCCTTCCGCGCCGGCTGCTACCAGTCCACACGCCCCTGCCCCCTTCTTCTCGTCCTTCTCTTCCCCTTCTGCTGCTGCCCTTGCTCCCACCTCCTCGTCCTTCCCTTCCGTGCCTGCCGCTTCTGGTTCATCCGCCCATGCCCCCACCTTCTCGTTCTTCCCTACCAAATCTGGTGCTACTTGCACACACACCCATGCCCCCACCCTACTCACTTGCTTCCTTCTACCGTCCCTGCCCCCACTGCGCCACCCCATATCTTCATGGCGATGCAGCACCGCACAGGAGTACTCTGGCTCCTGCTCTTCTTCGTCCTCTTCCTCTTCCCTCGCGTACAGTCCTGCTTCTTCCTCTGTCTTGCCTCCCAAAGCCTGCATCTGAGCCCGCAGCCTTCGTATCTGAGTTTCTATCTCCTCTTGTGACCTCCTCGCTCCCCCAATCCTCTGATAACAGTCTTTCTGCTGATGCCCCCTCTTTCCACACACCCCACAGGTTGGCGCGTCAGGGCAGTTCTGATGGCGGTGCCCTGGTTTCCCACACACGTCGCAGTTCTTGCAATTCAACTTCACATGTCCCGGCTGTCCACACCTGTAGCAGGTTCTCATGTCTGTCCTTCTCTCATGTTGCTGCTCCTCTCCGCCTCCCGCCCCTGGTGTCATTGCTGCCGCCCAGTGTTAGAATCCCTCTCCTCTTGTAACCTGCATATATGCTATAGGACAGGCTAGAGTTAACCACCCAAACTTAGTTTGGGTGTACAAACAGGGGTAACCCAGTTTGTAGGTTGGAACCCAACCTTGGTCCAATTATTGGACCCCAAAAGGTTGGGTTGGGTAGAATTATTGGCCCCCTCCAATAATGTTGGCCCAACCCCAACTTGGCCAACATTATTGGACCCCACCAATAATCTCCCAACCCAACTTCTTGGTTGGGGTCCAATAATGTCACCTTAGGTTAGCATCCAACCCCATTAGTATGTATACCCCCATGATTCTCAATCAAGTTATCAACTTCATTCCTAACTCCTTCTCTCACATGGTATAGAGCTATCAATCCTAGGCCTACCCCACTCGTTTCAAAGGCCCACCCGGCCGCCGCAACCCCCGGCCTCCTCCCTCATCTTTTTTTCCTCGCGGCTATCCTGCTGCCCTCCCCCCCCTTTAGCGCCCTTTCCCTCCACAGCTCCGCGGCCCGCGCCGCTCCCTTCCGCGGCCTTGTCGCCGCCTTCGCGCCCGCTTCGCCGCGGCCTCGCCAGCCGCTGCCGCCCGCGCCGCTTCTCTCCGCGGCCCCGACGCCGCCTCCGCGCCCGCCTCGCCGCGGCCTCGCCAGCCGCCGCCGCCCGCGCCACTTCGCGGCCTCGACGCCGCCTCCGCGCCAGAGCAGCCGTGACCTCGCCAGCCGCCGCCGCCCGCGCCGCTCCCCTCCGCGGCCTCGTCGCCGCCTCCGCGCCAGCACAGCCGCGGCCTCGCCAGCCGCCTTCCGCCCGCGCCGCTCCCCTCCGCGGCCCCGACGCCGCCTCCGCGCCCGCCTCGCCGCGGCCTCGCCAGCCGCCGCCGCCCGCGCCACTCCGCGACCTCGACGCCGCCTCCGCGCTAGCGCAGCTGTGGCCTCGCCAGCCGCCTGCCGCCCGCGCCGCTCCCCTCCGCGGCCCCGACGCCGCCTCCGCGCCCGCCTAGCCGCGGCCTCGCTAGCCGCCGCCGCCCGCGCCGCTCCCCTCCGCGGCCCCGACGCCGCCTCCGCGCCCGCCTCGCCGCGGCCTCGCCAGCCGCCGCCACCCGCGCCACTCCGCGGCCTCGACGCCGCCTCCGCGCCAGCGCAGCCGCGGCCTCGCCAGCCGCTGCCGCCCGCGCTGCTCCCCTCCGCGGCCTCGACGCCGCCTCCGCGCCAGTGCAGCCGCGGCCTCGCCAGCCGCTGCCGCCCGCGCCACTCCCCTCCGCGGCCTCGACGCCGCCTCCGCGCCAACGCCGCCGCGGCCTCGCCAGCCGCTGCCGCCAGCGCCGCTCTCCTCCGTGACCACTGCGGGTCCACCCGCAGCCGTCCATCATGGCTAACGCCACACCCTCCCCCTCCCCCCTCCCTCCTCCTATTGATCCCTCCTCCATCGATAAACTGCAGCTCGCAGCGGACAAATCCGCCGTCAACTGGCACTCATTCGTCGGCAGCATCCGACGGGTCCTCTCCGACGCATGGGTTCCCCCCTACCGCGTCCTTGACGTCATCCTCCGCCGTCCCCATGCCCTCCCCCCCACCGAACCTGATCACCCCGGCGAGACTCCTCCTCTCCCTCCCTCTCCTGGCGATCCCCTCTTGAACCCGACCTCCAGCTCACCACCGACCAAGCCACCGCTGATGCAGATTTCATCTTACGCCGCCGTGCATACCTTATCCGCAAAGCCGAGTACGATGCAGCAGTTGACGCCTATGACCAGGCGGTTGCTGGCCGCAATGCTCACCTCGCCATCGTCGCCAAATACAAAGACGACATGGCTGCCTTCACCCCAAAACTTATCGCCTGGACAGCTGCTGACACCCGCGCCTGCACCGTTCTCCTTGGTGCTCTCCCTGACTCCCTCATGCGCCGCTTCCAGGCTCGGGAACTCCGTGCCTCGGTCATCTGGGCAGAACTCCATGCCATGTTTGAGCGCCGCGACATCA